TTTAATCAAATTGATGAAGTATGATGTCTATGTAAGTCTAATATATTTTATTTCATCAAGTATGCATGAGAAATGTGTCAATAAAAACCTGTAATATTTTAAACAAGTTTTTATAATTATAATTATAACTAATATTTTGGTATGTAATTATCTTTAAAGAAGTATTTGTCTTACTTGATCTTAATCTCTTTCTATTCTTACTTGGACAATGGTTATCATCCATTGGATTACGTAATAACCATACTCTATATCCTTCAATTTGTCTATTATGTTGTTACTCAAAATATAAAAATTAAATTAATTTGTTAGTAACAAAAATAAACTAAAATAAATATTTGTGATTATACCTTTAGATGAATTTTTGTGACCTTCCACTTTGACTACCACTCATTATGTTCTTTCCAGAAAAAACATTAATAATATACACACTTAGTTAAAACATACCTGTAATATAATTATCTATACAAACAATCAATTTTTGCTACCAATATGCTATTTGTTTAATGAATATAGGTGATTTTTTGTGCATCAAACAAAACCATATATTTGTGTTGTTAATCATAGATATGATAAGCAATTGTCAATCATGACTATACATTAAAATATATTAAAATTAGTTGAAATAAGAATTGAGTAAAGATAAATTCTAAAAAAGACTGTATTTACTCATAAACATGGTGTAAAATAAATTATTTTTCTTGATAATAGAGTATTTATGATGTATGTTTGTGTCTCGCTTTCTTGTTACTCGATGGTTGAATGAATTGTGGATCTAAAATTATATAAACCTCATAGTTCCCTTCATTCACACATAATTGGGATATATATCTATAATGAGTGATATAATGATTAATAAATTATTTAAATAACTAAAATATTAATAATTTTAGTTTAATTAATTTACATAATCCATAACTGCATAACATATATGTTGAGCTCTAGATTGTCCAATGCAATCTTTAACACATTAGACATGTGTAAATATAATGAGACGTCTCCTTACCAAAAACTGTCTCTGATCTCAAAGATAAATTGTCTTTGTACCATGTTTTAATTGCTCATAACTAGTATTTTCTTCATAAATATGAATAAATTTATAACTCTTTAGTGTAATCTAACAAGTTTTTTATGCAGGAAAATCATTGATAGTACAAAATAACATGATATGCATTCCATCAAATACTTCAACCCCTTCATCCTACAATAGTTTCAAATCTTCAATCAACAAACTAAAATATATTTATGTCATTTATTGATTGTCTTGGACCTGAGATCATCATAGACACCATCATATATTTATGCTTCATACACAAGCTTGAAGGTAAGTTGTAAATAAAATAGCAAAACAGGCCATGAACGATGACTAATACTTAGATTACTAAACAAAATCATTCCATCAGTCATCAATCTAAGTCTAAGATTTCTTGACTTATTACCAAATTGGGGAAACTCATTATCAAAGTCCTTCTATTGCATAAAGTCAACTAGATGACGAATCAATCCATCACATACCCTCTTATTTGCATGTCATCTAAGGTTTTTAGTCTTATTAGGATTCGCAAATAAATGTTTAAACCTTGGAAATATTAGAAGATACTAAATTGACTTTACAGGAGGTTCCTAAATAGTCATGTCATCACTATTGTCTTAATTATTATCATTCATTTTGTAACAAGGTAACCCACAAAATTGAACACTTTTTTAGCTATTCAAACTCATATCTTGATAAAATACAATCACTAAGACATGCATGTATCCTTTTATACCTCATACCCATTGGACAAAATATTTTTTTTTGCTTCATAATTACGATTGACAGTATATTTCTTTCTAGAAGCTTATCCTTAAACAATTAAAGCAATTTGGTGAAACTTTTATCCGTTCACCTTTTCATTATCTTCAAATTTACCAATCTTAACACTGTTGACAACCGTGAAAAGTTAGTTAAACCAAAATAAAGTGAATTTTTTGTGTTACTACACATATTTTCGTATACATGCGCTTGAGTAAAAGATTATACTCTAACAACACGAATCATGTTCTTAGTTGATCATCCATGATTAAATAAACTAAATCATAAGATTTATTTATGATTGACAAATCTAACTAATTCACCATACCATGTCCAAGCTGTATAATTTTTAAAAAAGTTGTCACATAAAAGATGTTCCCTAATTTCTTCAACATTTAATAATCTTTCATTAAGACAATTAACACATTAACACCTAAATGTTTTATTAGTAGAACTACTCTAAGTGTTACGTTGTGTAACTAGTAAAAATTCTTTCACTCCTTTCTCATACTCATAAGTTAAGCGGGTACAATAAATTCAATTTCTGTCCATTTATAGATTCTACAATGTATTCACAATTATATAATTTAGTCAACAATGCAATTTGTTAGGGATTGGACATCTCATACTCAACACAAATTCGTTCAAAAAAGTTAAATATTAATACCAACCATCACAGTGCAAACAATCAATTCATACAATCTTATCCTAGGAAATTAGAACAATTATTTACTAGAGATGAAGTATGAACTCTTATAGGAAGGAAAGAAGGGAGGTGAAGTGAATTCCACGACACAACACCAACCACAGGAGAGAAGAATGGACTTCACAAAACCAATTTCACAGCACTATGAACCCACCAAAGACCCGCCACAGATTCATCATGGACCCATCACAATTCATCATGGACCCACCACTAATCACCACGCGAATGTTCCCCCGGACCACACACCCATGCACCACCACACTCCACCAACAACCACAAAGATCATCTTCACCACCACTAATAGAGAGGGCGCAACAATGCCATCATGCAGTGGCGGGCCTTTTTGGGAATTGAGGGGACTATGACCCCCAAAGTTTTGTAACTCACATATAATTTATGATTTTGACCCCTTAAACTTAATGATAATTTAATATATTTACTTTATATTTACCATTTTATCTTCTCATATAATTTATGATTTTGACCTCTTAAACTTAATGATAATTTAATATATTTATTTATACATTTACAATTTTATCCTCTCACCCTTTCATATTCTTTCACCCTTTTATATTTATTTATTATTTATAAATAATATATTATTTGACCTCCAAAAATCAATGGTCAAAGTGGCATCATGGGAGATGGACTGCCATGGCGAGAGAGGGAGAAAAGTGGGTGAGATAGAAGGAACAATGACTTGAAGGACAAAAAAGGCTAAGGAAGGCACTGACACGATCAAAACAAAGGAGAAAGAGGATGTGCATGACAAAAATGATGGAGGATAGTGGATGAAAATTGGGTATAGAAGATATAACAATGATTATTACTAATCACCATCCTTATATAGAACATATAATTATAGTTATTAAAAATTTGTTGTCGAATAACTATTGTCTTAAACATTGAATGAGAGGTATTTTGTATCCATTATTATATGTATTATACGATGATAATTATTAAATAGTTATCATTACATAATTGATTATAATTTCAAAAATGTCATCGCGATATTTTTTATGATGAATCTTAAATGATTATCGTCAATAAACGTCGTTCATACTCTATTTTACAAGGGAGATTTTCTTTTATCAAATTAAATTTATTTTAGAGAAAAATATCATGATCTAATTACTTTGGTTATGTCCTTTCATTATTTTTATATTTATTATTTTTTATATTTTAAAAATTGTATACAAGTATTAAAATATATAAATGGTTCTAACTTAATTACATAATAGTATCTTTGATTTTGTTATATATTTTATTTTTATAAAATATGTTTATGAGTTAAGAATGCGAGGGAAAAAATAGTTAATATACCCCTTTCTCTTATAATTTATAATGAAGTTTTTTAAGAATAAAATTAATTCATGATAAACTAAAATTTCTATAATGAGAAGAATTGTGAGGCCACAATAATTAATGCGAGCAAGTAGTGACGGGACACTGATGAACCAAAAGTAATAACAAATTAGAGATGAATTTGCAAGGAAATAACAAAGAAAATGATAAGAAACAAAGCTACTCAAATATTGTCAGAAATTTTTTCTTCACAAATCTCTTGCTAATAAGCAAATGACGAGGGAGTTGCGTAATAAGCAAATGATGAGGGAGTTGCGAAATAAGTCCTCGCTAATACATAGTTTTTACAATGCAAAATTATTCGAGCTTGTATTTAATTCTTGTTCTCATTACTAAAAAATGCTTTCAGATCACAGTTTTTTAGTAAAAAATATTATATATTTACTCATTATCTAATGAAACTAACACATACATAATTTTGAAAATGCTATCTAAGGTTTATCTTATCGTGGAGTGTCTTAATCTTAACTAAAAAAAAATGTTTGAATTCTTTGTTTAAGATTCAATTTTTTAAGAATAAGTAATTTACATTAGAGAATTGAAATTATATTATTGAAATATTATTATTGAGTTATATTATTGAGAATTGAAATTACTTAATTATCTTTATGAACTTTATTTAGTTAAAAAAATGATTAGAAAGGAGGTTTAGTGCATGAATTAATTATGATATTTTAAATTAGATTGGATTTTTGAGTTAATTTAATTCCTTGATAAACTTATCCAAGAACTAATGATGTCTCTAAAATTGATGACCAATGCGAATCTTTCCTAATCTAATGACTAGCATTGATTAGAATTCAAAGTTGAGACTATTCTAGGATTCTTTCCAATAAATGAGTGAGTCCTATTTTTTGCATGTCATTTTCAATCCCCTCCCATTAGTCTCTCCCCAAAAGAAACAAACAATTAAAGGACAAGAAGGGGAAAAAAGAAAAGTAAGGGTTAAAAAATAAAGAAGGAAGAAAAGGTCCATAAAGCCAAACAAAGCCTCCATTCCTTGATCAACCATATTATAAGTGCAGGCTTTCTATCATAAAGTCTGAACATATACACACACACATAGCCCTTTTTTCTGAGGAGGAGAGAAGAGAATTTCTCTAAATCCAGGGACTCTCTCTGAAGAATAAGGGTTTGATGGAGTGCAATGTGGAGGACAATAAGAATCTATACCTTCATGCTCCTACTTTCATTGAGTGGCTCAAACCATGTTCTTCTCCCTCATATCTAAATTCCAACACAATATCTTCTTCATCTTCATCTTTTTCCTTTACTCAGCATGAGCTTGTTCATGAAACCATTCAATTCTTGCCCATTTTAAGTGAAAAGGCCTCAGAAGATGAAGTACAGAATTTTGAGGTGAAAGAGGAAAAGGTTGAACAAGTGACTGTGGCTTTGCACATTGGTTTGCCTGACACTGCTAAAGGGCATCCTGAGGTTGTTGATGATGAGAAGATGATTTTCCATGTTAAGGAAGAACAAGAGTCCTCCAAGAGAAGCTTCCATGGATGCTCCTTCAACCAAGAGAGAAGGTTTTGGATTCCAACTCCAGCACAGATCCTTGTTGGACCGATGCAGTTTGCTTGCTCCATATGTAGCAAAACCTTCAATAGGTATAACAACATGCAGGTTAGTTAAATTGCTTCTCAACTTCTCATACTCTATATTAATCTTGAACACAAATTAACTTCCTTTGTGAAGGAAAGTAGAAAACTATGTAAAAAGGACTATTGGGAAGAAATTTGAAACTGTGAATTAAATTATTTCTATGTTTTCAAAAGATCATAATGATGTCCAACTCTGTAAAGTTAACAAATGTTTGCGAAGAAGACAAATGAAAAAGCTTTCAAAAAGATGAAAGCTGATTATACACAGTAATGAAAGTTTGATCCATTTTAATTCTTTTCACAAAGTATCTGTGGAAAATTTCTGTCTAGTTGAAGTTAGGATCTATCCGTAGGCAGTGAAGTAAAGGGCTCGAGATAGCTAACAAGATCATCACCACCATGAGGGAATATATAGTTGCACGTGCCTGATCTACCTTGGAGGAAACATGATCATAATAGTTACGATTTGGTTCAATTCAAACTTAACATACTAATTACGTGATTTCCCTATTTTTATTTTTAAGGAATGAGGTTTCAAGATTTATATTGGGTGGAGCAATGCAAGCTTAGTACTATAAAGTACTCTTTCAAAGACTTTGGCACCCCACTTGCCACAAACTTGGTTTTAGATTCATCATTCACCTCAAAAATTGGCTCCAATTTTATTTCAGAAATATAGAGTACAGAAAATTGAAATATATCTATCTATCTATCTATCTATCTATCTATCTATCTATCTATCTATCTATATATATAACACTAAACATATTAAGTATTTTCCAAGAGTTAACCGAAGAGATTCTTAACAATAAGACATGAGTACTGAATGATATTAGTGTCATGAAGTTATATGCATTCTTGACAAGACGATCACTTCCAAAAGAAAACTCTTGTCAAATATGCATTTCATCGAAACCAAACTTCCGAGCAGAGTCAATGATTGTTTTGTTTTTCCACAACTGCTCTTTAATTTTGTATAGCATTGCGTAGTTTTCCGTAGTTTATGTGCATACCTACTGAATTTGAATTCCCTGAATTTTATCATGCCAAATTGAAGTAAATGCTTTACATGATAATGACAATTAAGATAGTGATGATAATGATATTAAGAAGAGATTAAATATAAAACTAAAACTTTAATCAGTATGCTTTAAGAAAATTGAGCTAGATGGCGCGTACGTGTTGTCCCTCTATCGGTCATTTCCCTTCACTTTTAAATTAAAGGCTTCTTTTTCATCTCATAAATTTCAAAGGAAAAAAGTTTTAATATATAATAATTCTTCATATGCATGCATGCTTTTGTTTTCTTTCCAATTGGAGCTATTATACTGGGGAGGGGTGCCATGCAGAATCTTCACCATGTATAATTACCAGGCTTAAGCCAAGGTTAAGAAAGAAATTAACTACTTAAAACTTTGAATTTTCTGATTTTAAATAGTTACATACCAAAAAAATATACACATGGGGCTGACTAGCTGTAGCTTTTTGACGAGAATTTGACATGTTAAACATATCTCTAAAGGACGATAATGCTTGGTCAAATATAGCAGCATTCATGATTTTTTATACACAAAATAAAAATGAAAATTCACACTAAATATAACTTTTGAATACTAAAGATTTAAGGAGAGAAAGGTGAGAAAGAAAAAGATACTAATCAAAGTACTTGTGCTCCAAAAAGCAAGATTAATTAAGATCAATTAGAAGTGTGCATATGCATGTATTCTAATGTACATTCAGCTAAACACCAACTTAAGTTTTTTTCATCTGCAGATGCATATGTGGGGTCATGGATCAGAATTTAGGAAAGGACCAGACTCACTGAAAGGAACACAACCAGCAGCAATGCTAAGGTTGCCATGCTACTGCTGTGCCCAGGGTTGCAAAAACAACATCAACCATCCAAGGGCCAGGCCTTTGAAGGACTTTAGAACCCTCCAAACTCATTACAAAAGAAAGCACGGCACAAAGCCCTTTATGTGCAGAAAATGTGGGAAATCATTTGCAGTCAAAGGGGATTGGAGGACTCATGAGAAGAACTGTGGCAAGTTGTGGTACTGCACTTGTGGCTCAGACTTCAAGCACAAAAGATCGCTGAAGGACCATATTAGGTCCTTCGGAAAGGGACACAACCCTCATCCTCCCTTTGAAGCTTTTGAGGATGAGAAGGAATGCATCACTGGCTCTGATGAAGATGAGGTTAATGCTCATCATCACACATGATCTAACACTCTATAGCTTTACTTGTTACCATGATATAACAGTGGCAAGGTTTTAAGTCCTGAAATTACAACATAAAAAGTGGTGGGTGCAGTCATGTTTTTGAAACCTTGCGTAGTGGTAGCTGTAGTAGAGAGTTTGGTGAGTTCAGTACCCTTGTGCTCAGTAACAAAAAATTCTCAACAATGCTGAGGCATGAAAGGCTCAGGGAAAGGTTTGCTACCGAGCACTTGCAGGGTGGTGATGAGCTTTGAATAGAGGTTTGGACTTAATTTGCATGCTTTTGGTTAATTAATAAGATGGTTCCTCAAGTGATGAAGTAGATGAATTTTCTTCGCATAGTCACAGAGAGTAGTATTAATGCCATGTTTAGTTTTCTGTAACCTCTTCAATATGGAGGAAATTTATCCGCTTCATTACTCAATGGTCACCCCATTCTAGGACTTATGTATAAGTCTTGTTTAAATATTTGTTATGAATTTTATGTTCTATATGGATAACCACTGTGTCCTAGACTAAAGAATTTTCTATGTTTTATATAATATTTTACTGTAGTATGAGCATCATCATTAAGCGATGCTAGATGTGAAACCAGATTAAGAGAGCTGAGTATATATTATACAATTTCAGTAAGTTTTATTTCATATACATACATTATAATTAGATTTTAGTGAAGTCATAGATCCAAATTATTTATTAAAAAAGAGAGAGATAAACACTCATATAATAGTATATATATCATAACTTGTTTTTCTTTTGTATATTCTGATATTGAACAACGTATTTCAATAAATTTTTATTATTATCGTGACCAGTTTAAAACTAATATAAAAATATTATAAGAATAACATATACATACACATTCAGATAATTATGCAATGCAGATGAAACGATGTGAAACATGATACAGATAGATAGATAGATGTGATGAACCAACCATTTTCAGTGAAGAACCTTCAATTATTATGCAGAAGGTACCATCATCCTAATCCATAAAGGGTTTATATAATGTTTGCAACTTTCTTAGGACTGTAATTATTAACTGCCCTTCATTTAAGGAACATTAAAAAGTGCTTATCTATAATGCACCATCCTTTTCCCTTTACCCCAAATAATTTTTAGAGTGGTGAAAGATAATGAAGAACCAAAATCATGTGAAATTAAGACTAATTTTTTAAAATTTTCAAAGTAATATATACCTACTGAAATTTTACGTGACTGTGAGAGTCCATTTTGGGGGCATGACTACCAAATCATCCACCGATACTTAGCTAGAAACATGATATAGTTAATTGGTGTGATATTCTTGGTCTCATTCTTGATAATTTTTTTATTATTATTTGGTGAAAAAACTTCAAAACATGGTCATCATCATGCATATGTGTATTTGACAAAGGGATGATGAGTTGCAGAGACCCCCCCTTTTGTTTTGCTCACAGTATAAACAATTTCTTAACACGTGAGGGAGATAATTAAAGGGGGAGAAATAGGGTTTGAAAAATGAGGTTTTGTGAGGTAACGAAAGCAAAAAGTAGTACAAAAAAAAATGGAGAGTGTGTATTTGGTCTTGAAAATAAGGGACCGCCACTAAGTTTTGTCGGAGAGGGGAAAGATCACAATCACCATAATCTTGAGGAGAAATATATTATTAATGTCATTTAATATATGCTTTCATATTTAAAAGTTTCACTTTCCCTTAAGTGACTCATGCTAGTTAGGTTAACTTAATCTTGAATATGGTGATCTTTGGCAATATCTTGCACAATCAAAGTATCCATCTCATCCAATGTCTTTTCATCTATCAATATCAAAAGTAGGTTTAGGGTTTCATCTATCCTCTTATAGTTTTATGTTAATACATAGACCTCGGACCAAATTATTATTTTCTTAATTACTTATCAAATGTAACTTCTTCATAATAATTGTTTTGTTAAACACATTATCAAGACTTTTTTTATTCATTTATTTTATAAGATATTTGATTTTCTAATGTTTATTATCATGGAATTTAATGTGAATACAAAATAGAGGTGGAGGTTAATGGAAGGAAGAGTCTATTTCTTCAAGTTAGAGCTGGTCAAGGTTTGAATTCTTGACCAGCGATACTCTTATTTAGTGTTTAATAATATTTCTAATAAGATTATGTTTTAAAACATCTTTAGAAAACTATAACCATCCCTTGTTTTTTTTTTTTTTTCTATTATCTATTTTTTAAGTCACTTGTTATAAAATTTCAACCCACTTTATATAACCTCAAATAAAATAATTAAAAATTATAATAGAAGAGTTATCAATTTTATTTTCTGAATTTTAGTTAAGTTTTTATTTATTTTTATTCGGCAAAGAAGATTACGTATTAAAGATAAGATTAGGATACTAAAATAAATTTAGTCTCAGAGTAATTTAAAAGATCTAAAAAAATAATAGGTTAGATTAGGTTATAATATTTGTAACTTAAAATGAATCAGATTTATTTTAGTTTATTCATTTGATTTATATAAATTTAGGTTAAATTAGTTTATAAAACCTGTTTTATAAAATAATAATTATTTTTAAATAAAAATAAAAATAATATTATTTTTATAAATAATTAACTTATTTTAAGAGTAGATATGATAATAAATTTTAATAATTACTTAATATATATATATATATATATATATATATAATTATTAAGATTAATTATTATTTTAAATTAATAAATTACTAAAATAAGAATGATAATAAAAAATAATTTTTAATTTGTAAAATAAATAAATTTATTCTCTTATCATTTATATATTAAATTATTATATTTTAACATAATTTAAAATTTAAAAATATATTATTTTATTTTATTTTTATTTTAATAATTTTTAATTCATATGTTAATCTAACATAGAAACTAAAAATTATGATTTATTTTAAGTTAGGTATCAATTATTTTTATTCAGACCGTTTTTACAACTTGTATAAAAGGATAACACTGAGAGTTTTATTTATTTATTTATTTATTTTTAATATAAGTTATTTGGTCTCGTGTAAAAGAATAAAAAAAGTTGACAATTTTTTCTCATTCTCCTTTTGGACTCGTGATATAGAATGTTGCAAATTAAATAGATATTTTTTTATTATTTTAAAATTTATTTATATTTGGATTTAATAGAACTTTGTTTTCTTATATTCTTTTTTGTATGTTTTTTGAACTCTTCTTAATCTTTTAAGAGTTTTATTTTATAATAAAGAAAAATAAAAGGGAAAAAAGAGAGAAGAAAGATAAAATAATATGAAACATACTTATATATTTTATTGAAAAATTATATAAAAATAAAAGAAAACTACTTATTGAAAAATATGATAAATAAATGAGTTAAATTAAATATTAGAATTATTTATATAATTTAATTATGTTTTTATGAATGAAGTAATTGCTTAAATTAACATCTTTAAAATTTTATATTTTTTAATAATATATTTTGATATATAATTTATAAATATTTTTTATTATATTTTTAAAATATTAAAATTATTTTAAAATATAAATATATTATATTATATATTTAATTTTTATAAACATTTTCATATTTATCACATTTATCAAAATAACATAACTAAAAATTAACCTATATATTATATTAAAATTATAAATGTAAATATAAATAATCATTTATTTAAGAAAATATAATTTTGTAAACTTATTTTTTATATTTTTTGTTATTTTTCCGTAATATAAGGGAAAAATAAAAAATATACAACGAAAAATGATTTTTTTATCACGTTTTTGTTATTGATTTCACTCAATTTTCTGTATTTTCTTTATTTATAACTTTTTTCTACAAATAGACTTTAAATATATTTTGTGTAAGTGAAGTTAAACTTAATAATTATGACGTAAACTTAACACTCTTTCATGTTATTTATGAATCTACAATCAAGATTTCAAACGTCAAGATTATGTTAATTTACTTTCACCAAAGGAATTAAAGTTATAACTTAGAAACAAAAACTACTTTGTTAAGAAATCAGGATTTTAAAAATCCGAAATTATGAAAATATCAAATTGAATTGAAATTCAAATTTGAAACTAATAATGATGAAACGAATGGACCTTCAAACTTTCCTCACTTGCATCAAACGGTGTCGTTTTTGGCTAGAACAGTCACTATTAAATTTTATTATTATTAAACTTGATGAGGTAAACTCATTATTTGACAACTTAAATCTACGAACTGAAGTTATGAAAATTAGAGTGAGGTGATGGAGCAGAGAAAGAGAGGTGGCACCTGAAGGCTTCCAGTGAAGGGTTGAGTAGAAGGTCGCAAGATGTGCAGTACAGTCAATCCAATTAACGTTGCCACTGATTTCAATGGTTTCAGTTTCCTTGCAAAGTGATGAAGGGGATAAAATACTGTACGATTTTATTACACCAAAAAATTATGTGTGATACCATAATAATAGTAATCATAAGTTAATTAAAAACTTATATAATTTTTGTTTTTCTCATTGATAATAGTAAGAAATAAATAAAAGGATAATATTATTTAATTTTATAAACAGAAAAATAAATAATTTTAAATGTACAGATCTAAAGATTGGTGGGAACGCGTTTGAATAGTTTTCAATTCAAATTCAATTTATTTAATTTAAGAATTAAATTCAATAAAGTAATTAATAAAAAAAGTCGAATTAATTTGCAGTTTATTCAAAGTAAACCCTGTCTCTGTGACTAACACCAACACATATATGAATTAGAGGTATTTCTTAACCATACAAAATATTAGAAGTTCATATTTGCTAGAAGAAGACACAATGCCGAGAGTCGTTAAAAAAATATAAGTTCAGCTGTGTGCTTGACTTTAATTTGTCCTCATATTAACTTATTTTTTCCAAACCATGAGACATGAAGCAAATATCAACACTTTATCTTTTGGGGGAAGAGAAAAACAGAAAAAATTGTTTATCTTCCTCCTCGAATATACTGCACCGTTTTTTGACGCCAATCCAACCGAATGGTGATGCAGGGGTGATCAGAGTTTAGATAAAGGATGGGAACAAAATAATATTTGGTGAGGCATAGAACAAGAAACACAAAAGCATGGTTTTACCACATGTCACCATCGTATGGCCTTAGATGTAGATAGTTGGCCACGTGTCAAGAACTAGCAAACGTGGCATGTTGTAGTGACGACAAGAGATTTGGTTTTCTTGTGAGAACTGTGAACTCAATGTACGTGGCAGTTCAGGGCTGTTGTTGTCTCCGCTCCAACCTATCATCATGTGAAAGTTCAGAGAAATCAAAGCTTATTTAGTGCACATCACATGCGAGTTCTAGGACTCTAAACTACATTCTTGCCCGTTGTTCATCGTGAAGAAAAAAGAGAGTCTTTCATTATTCAGTTGGATTAAGCACCAAGATGAAGGTTTGTTGTTCTTGTCTTCAGTGTAATTGACCTTTACCTCAGAAGGGGTTCTTTCTTTTCCATGCTGATAACCATCTACTAAGATCAAGTGGTTTTTTTTTGTAAGTTTAATGTGTTGTTAGTGGTGTAGTTCTTTGTTAGTTTAAGTAGTTAAGGAGCTTTTGGAAATTTTGAAGGTTCAGGAAACGAGGTCGCATGTTCATGCACCTGGGGAAGAAGAGAAGGTTATGACAAGGAAGCAGAAAGCTGAGTCCAAGGCACACGAAGGGGAGCATTCTCCTAAGAAGGCCAGGGTGGAAAATGAAGATGGTCACGTCAACGGGAAAACTGTAGCTGATGTTGTAGAAGAATATGATGAGTTTTGCAAAGCCATAAATGAGCACCTTCCTTTGGAGCAAATGAGAGAGATTCTCGAGGCTAATGGCCTCGATTCTTCTGGCTCTGATCTTGAAATTACTCGAAAATGGTTGGTTTCAGTTTAGATTAGACCATTTCTTTAAAGTGGATTTTCATCTTAATGTAATGACTTAATTACAATCACCACCTTTTTGAACAGCCAAGACTTGCTGTTTTATGGTGCATTGGACAAGTGCTCTGTTTGCAATGGGAGTTTGGAGTTTGATGGCCGACGTTATGTTTGCAGAGGGTTCTACAGTGAGTGGGCTAGTTGCACTTTCAGCACCAGAAACCCTCCAAGGAAACAGGAACCCATTAAGCTACCTGATTCTGTTCAGAACTCTCTGCCTTCAGACGTGACATTCTTTCTACTTTTCATTTTGTATTTCTTTTGTTTTGTATTTCATTGTTGTTTCTTGTAACCTAAGATTTTGTCTTTTTCTTTTTGTTGGCTTGTTTTCCTATGTGTTTGCCATAGTTGCTAAAGAAATATCAGGACCCAAGTGACAGGCCTCACAGGGATACAGGCTTAGCTGAAAAACCCTTTACTGGAATGATGATATCTCTGATGGGGCGTCTTACTCGGACACATGTATGCACCACTGTTACTGTTGTTGCGTAAACATTCTTTATCAATTGAATTTTGACATTCTGTTTTTGGCTACCAAGCATTATTGGAAAAGAGCTATTGAAAAGCATGGAGGGAAAGTGGCAAATTCTATAATTGGTAATATCATAAAGAGTTGGTTTTGTCATCCTGTTGTTGCTAGGAACTACCCTAACCTGGCTTGTTACATTTTGCAGGGGCTAATTGTTTGATAGCTTCACCTGCTGAGCGAGAACGTGGTGGCACATCCAAACTTGCAGAAGCCATGTCAGTGTAGTTTAAGTTTGTAGGCAATGTTAATCATTTGTCTTCATCCTTATTTATGAGTGTGATAAGCTATCTTGGTTCTGTTTGATCCTTATTTATGAGTATGATAAGCTATCTTGGTTCTGTTTGATCCTTATTTATGAGTATGATAAGCTATCTTAATTCTGTTTGATCCTTATTTATGAGTGTGATAAGTTATCTTGATTCTGTTTGGTCAAGTTATGAACATTATGAGCAAGTAGATCTTTAGGCGTTTATGTGCATGAACACCATTGGGTTGCCATTAGAAAAATGATCAGGCAAATAAAATGCACCTAAATTATAGGCTTATAAAGTGGCTAATATGCCATATTAATAGTAATACAACATGAGCATTCCTTGTTGATTATATTAAGGTATTTTACTGTAGGGAGAGAGGTATAGCAGTGGTTAGGGAGGCTTGGCTGATTGACAGCATTGAAAAGCAAGAACCACAGCCTTTAGAAGCTTATGATCTTGTCTCTGATCTTTCCGTGGATGGCAAGGGAATCCCCTGGGACAAACAAGATCCTGGGGAGGAAGCTATTGAATCACTCTCAGCAGAAGTAATTAATTTCCTCGTTCTCACTTAATATTTTTTTTATTAAATTGAAATCATGTATAACACACGGAGCACCCTTTTATTTGTGTTTAATTAAATTTGTTCCGTGGTAACAGCTTAAACTTTATGGGAAGAGAGGGGTGTATAAAGATACCAAGTTGCAGGAACAAGGTGGAAAGATATTTGAAAGAGATGGGATATTATACAACTGTGCCTTCTCCCTTTGCGACCAAGGGAGAGGACTGAATGAGTACTATTATGAGAACCAATTTCATTTTTAGTCCATATTAACATATATAGGATGACTATACCTAATTGTTGGTGTTAATTTGGGGCAGCTACTGTATTATGCAACTGATCGTTGTCCCAGAAAATCGTTTGCATCTGTACTTTAAGAAAGGGAGAGTTGGTGATGATCCAAATGCAGAGGAGCGATCAGAAGAGTTGGACAATATAGACAGTGCTCTGAAAGAGTTTGTCAGACTCTTCGAGGAAATAACAGGAAATGAGTTCGAGCCTTGGGAAAGAGAGAAGAAGTTCCAGAAGAAGCCATTGAAGTTCTACCCCATTGACATGGTACAATACATAGTTTTTCCCAATCATTTCCCATGCCACATCTTTTAGCTAACACAGTACTATGACTGAATAGGATGATGGAGTTGAAGTTAGACACGGAGCACTAGGCCTTCGGCAGCTGGGGATAGCAGTAACACACTGTAAACTTGAGCCTTTGGTTGCAAATTTTATCAAGGTTTTGTGCAGTCAGGAGATATACAAGTAACTACAATATCTGAACACTATGATGCATGGGATTATTATGAAGTTTCAAAATAACCTACACTTTTTTCAGGTATGCATTGATGGAGATGGGTTACGACTCACCGGAGCTTCCAATAGGAATGGTTACAAATCTTCATCTGCAAAGATGTATGTACATGGGAAACTACTTTTTCCTACTCCTCTAATGTCACTCAGGAACAGAGTACTGACTAGAAACTTATCAGGTGAGGACGTTCTCTTGGAATTCATCGACAAGGTGAAATCATTGAAAGAAACTGGCCCCAAGGCTGAGGCTGTTTGGACTGATTTTAGCCAAAGATGGTTCACTCTGATGCACTCGACAAGGCCTTTCATTTTTCGAGATTATCAAGATATTGCAGATCATGTAAGCACGGTTAGTCACTAAATCGAATGGTTCAATTCGATCACTAACTAAAATGAGTACTGTCCTATTTTCCTAGGCTGCTGCTGCCTTGGAGGGGGCCAGAGACATAACCCTCGCTTCTCACCTCATAGGAGATATGACTGGCTCAACAATCGATGACCCATTATCAGAGACATATAAGAAATTGGATTGCTCAATTTCTCCCCTGGAAAAAAGTTCAAATGATTATCAGATGATAGTGAAATATCTTGAAAACACTTATGAGCCAGTCAAAGTTGGTGATGTAGTAAGATTGGAACTTTCTGCTTTGTATTTTTCATGTAACCATCCGCATATCTTCTTGAGTGTTTACTTCCAATGACCTTCAGGATTATGGGGTGTCAGTGGAAAACATTTTTGCGGTGCAAACAGGTGGTTGCCCTTCCTATGAAGACATAGTTAAAATGCCGAATAAAGTTCTTCTATGGTGTGGTAAGACACGCTAGCATTTTGTTAAAATTGAAAGGGGAAAAAACAAAGTCTTATTTGATTAGCTTCATTCTTCTCAATGACTGCACAAATTCTATGATGCAAGGATCACGAACCTCAAACCTTTTGAGGCACTTGCGCTGGGGATTCGAGCCAGCAATATGTTCACTACCAGTTCCGGGTTATATGGTACGAGAAATAAAAAGTTATTCAATTTTAGTGTTTTTGAGCGTTCACTCATTCCTTGTTACGTACTTTTGGCAACAGTTTGGCAAAGCTATTGTCTGTTCCGATGCTGCAGCAGAGGCTGCAAGATATGGTTTTACAGCTGTGGACAGACCAGAAGGGTTCTTGGTTTTGGCCATTGCTTCTCTAGGAAATGAGATTACCGAGTTTAAGAGCCCACCCGAGGTATCCAAAATGCACTTGTAGAGACCTTATTGGCAATTATTTATTTGTTTTTGACATTACTGATTCAATAGTTTTCAACATTATTGACGCAGGATACATCATCTTTGGAAGAAAAGAAGCTTGGAGTGAAGGGACTGGGGAAGAAGAAAACAGATGAATCCGAACATTTTGTTTGGAGAGATGATATAAAAGTTCCTTGTGGTAAACTAGTTGCCTCAGATCATCAAGATAGCCCCCTGGAATACAACGAGTATGCTGTCTACGACCCGAAGCAGGTATATTACCCGTTTTGCTCAAGTGTGAACTAGATTATCAATCGGAAAAACATTTTTATCGTTCTCAGATATGTGAACTTTTTGCATTCCAGGCACGCATAAGCTTCTTGGTGGGGGTGAAGTATGAAGAGAAGGGTGCGGAGATTGACACAGCTGAGTGATGGGGACCAAAAATCATAAAAGGAAAGCTTTTTATAATGCAAAAGTTGAAAGCCACAATCTTAGTGGTTTAGCTAGTTAGAGAAAGATCTTATCTATGTCATTTTGATGTATATTTACATGTGACAAAATAGGCTGTATGTTGTTTCACATTTTGATGTATATAGGTCAATGGCCAGTAACTTTAAGTAAATATTTTGACCTACTCATGACGGCAATAGAGAGGAATTACATCCAACAGTTTGTCGTCTTAGTTGACTACTCTTCTGTGGGGATCATGAGTAGAAGAAATGGTTTAATTAACTTCTGTTATAATCAATGACAATTATGATTAAGAAAAGGATCTAATCTAGAGACATTATGTCGCAAAACCAGCATGGAAATTTTTTAAGTTTGTACCTCTAAATATGTTGTACGAAAAATACCATGGAGAAATGCACCCAAATGACCAGAAGCCCTGCATATTTAAATGAACTGTTACAAGCTGCAAAATACGAACAATCTATAACCAAAATAAGAAAGACTGCACACCACACCTCAAAATGGGCATGCAAATTAAAAATCGTTTAGCTTCATCTGCTAGAGTTTGCAGAGTTGTTAAAACGTCATTTCAGCATCCAATGAAGTGTTTATTATTGCTTCTTGTCATAGGATGTCTTATGTAGATACTCTAAGCAAATCATTTTTGTCCAATTCGGAGGACATGCACTGCAGAATTTTAGTTAGCTAGTCATCATAGCCGGAGAAACAAAATTACCCAAAGCGAGTCAAAGCAAAGAGTCCTGAACATAAATATATAGCATAGACATGCTTAATGATCATTAACGGGTCAAAGCTGTATTGATCTAACCAAAATTTACACTTGGGGTTGCCTTGAGGCTTCATATGGGACAATACAACACAAAAACGAATCTTGAATCAGTATTTTGCTTTCCACTATCTGTGCATTTCACAATGTTATAGTAACAGAACAGTAATTCACGCATGCCCTCCACCACTTGCAGGAGTAGTTTAGCATTCATCAATGATACATGACAACAGGAGGAATCTTAAAGCTGTCCTCAAGAAAGGGTATTGGCCTGTGTCCATCCACAAGGTCCCTATAAAACGCATATTCAGCCTCATAATCGTGCAAATGAAGCTCAGCCTTCTGGTTAGTGTGGTAATGATGCTTAGCTGAAGCCGATTTCCCAAACCCAAAAATGCTAACCCTATCACAAACACCCAAAGCCAGCATCACAGCCTGCATCCCAGAAGAGTAATGAAAAAGTGCCCCATCATGAGCCTCACCCCACTTCTCCAAACCCTTCCCAGTCTCCTCCACAAACCTCTTCAACGAATAATACTTCACAATCCTCGCACATAACACATCAAACCTAGGATCAGTGACCAATAAAGGAGCCTTGTGAGAAGCATTGCACACAGTGTAATCCAAGAAGTGCACGGCTTGGCAGATGTACATTACAATCGGAACATGGTCACCATAAGGGTGACAAAAACACCCAGCCCTTCTAGCACACAAATGCAGAATGTTACTGTTCATAAATGAAATGCTAGTTTTCTTCCCGACCTTGGTCTCAAAGTGATCAACCCTAGCGTTGTTCAACCTTATCACAACCTCATGTGCATCAATTTCACTTCCATAATCCCTATTCAGCAAAATCCCGCTGTTCCCAACAACAGCACAAGAAGCATATTTATTTTTGTTTTTGGTTACTACTTTTCTATGTGAATCAATTGGAAGCTTAATTGACCGAGTCAACTCGGACATGATACCGGGTTGGAATCGTCGCTTCCTGAACCAATCGTGGAGAACCTTCCGGAAGTCGAGCCAGTACCGGTAGAAGAGCGGTGACCGGAGCGTCGCCGGGAGATTGGGGGCGGCTCCGCCGCCGCTGTCGTGGTGAATGAATCTACGCCACGAGACGAAAGTGCGGTGGCGCGCGTGGCTTCCAAAGTTTCCATCGAGGAGGTTCTGGATCTCCTGCTTGAACTTCTCCTCGCCGATTTCAACAGCAGCGTGGTGGAGGAGTGTCGCGTTAAGCTGAGGAGGGGATGGGTGGTGGATCCGCACGCGGTACTCGAGCTCGATGGAGAGGATGCCGCGGCGGAGGACGGCGCGTGAGATGAGCGTGGCGGCGAAGACGAGGAGAAGGAGGAGCGCGAAGAGAGGCCGAAGGGTGCGTTTCATTGGAAGATGACTCTTGATGAAGAAATTAGGTTTGACGGTAGCTAACTGTGGAAAAGGAAACGGATCGACAATTGGTTTGAGGGTTTCGGTTTCAGATCCATCTTTTTCTTCTGTGACCTTATGCATGGATGATGAAGAAGAACAAGAAGAATAAAAAAAGGTGAGATCTTTTGGCTTTTGTTAGGCTTAATGGAAATGCATGGGGAATGTAATGTGGAAGTTGAAACTGTTTCTGGGTCAAAAAGTGATTGCGCTCATCATTGCAGAGTTGGGTATTGGAATAGAAAGTGGGCATGGAGAGTGAGTGGGGTGATGTGAAATTGAAGGCATTATCAAGTGGTGAAACAGGTTAGAAGGGTGCATAGGAAGAGGATGAAGAATGTGGTGTAGTTGTAGGTGCTGAACATTGTGTGAGTGTAAATGCATGCAATCAAGAGATTGGAGGAGGAGGAGGAGGAGGAGGAGGAAGAATCAAATCAAAACAAAACAAAACCCTATTAAGAAGAATCTAGATTATTAAAATGTGTGTGTGGTGTGTGGTGTGTGGTGAGGAAGGGAATGCATCAGAGGATGGCATGTGTTGTTAGAGCACATTAAAAAGGCATGTTGTTTCTGGGTCATGTCTAGTGGCCACTATGGTGAGGGAATGATAGTGTGCTTTGCAAGTGAGTGATAATAGAGTAAAAAAACAAAAAGAGAGGAAGGGTGGGTCCATTTGGTGGCTTAATTTAGAGATATATAGTTATAGTTTCATAGATCTACCATTCTAGCTATGATTGATAGAACATAGTAAATAGTTAGATAGATCAATCATTAATATAAATTTTTATATAATTGGATTTGGTTATGGAATTTAGCCATAGATCTCTTCATCAATGTTGTTCTGCTAATAGGTTAAATTTTTGGCACCAAAGTTAATGAAGAAAGAGAAAGGTTAATTAATATCATTAAATAAAGTAATTTTTGTTATTTTTTTACAACAACAATTGATATAATTTTTTTCTTAAATTTAAATTTCAACTTAAAAATATATACTGCACTTAATAAGGTATGAATTATCGAAGTAATAAATTTCTTAACAAATACTACTAGGAAGTGATTGAAGGATTTTTTTGGCAAGTTGTAATGAGTACCGCAGAAAACACGTGAGTAGATAGAGACTCCACCTTATAAGGTGTGTTTCAACAAACCAAGAAAAGAAAGGTATTGAAGCTACCACTACCAATGAAACGTATTTTGCAGTCAAAAACATCATTATCTGCAAATTCCCCTGTTATCTTCACAACAATACTGTAACCTCGTAATATTGTATGAAAATATTTTTTCTAATGTTCAATTCGTGAAATATAAGTAATTGTGGATATTTTATTGCATTCAATTACCGGTTGCAAATCGGATTATTTCTTCCATCTTGGTTTCACCAGCTCTTGCTCCATCAAATTTTGGTCCACAATAAAAAAATATTGACTAACCACTCATTCAGTCATTTTTTTTATATATATTTTGTTAAGCACATTTTTAATTATATAAATATTTATTTATTAATTAATATTTTTTGTAAATAAATTAAAAATTTATTATATTTATATATTAAAATATTTAATTATAACTAATGATTTACATTTAATTTATTAATTTTTTTACAAAAACTTTCACTTACAATTATTTATTTTTTCTTTTTTTTTTAGATTTTTATTTTTCTTCTCTCACTCTTACATTTTCCTACTTTAACTTCTTATACCTATTTTATTTTTTCACATTTTTTATTTTTAACACTAATTCATGTTCATATTCTTCTCTCTCATAATTTCATTATATTGTAAATTTTTCTCTTTTAACTTTCAAATTTTTGTAATTTTTATTTTTTTATAGTATATTCAGTCATAAAATAAAAAGTTAAATAATAGAAGAGATATTTCACATTATTCTTTTAAGTAAAAAACAATAAATAAATTTATTTTTGTTTATTATTATAATTTATTTTAATATAAAAATATGAAATATTAAGATAATTTTTTTATTAGCTCTAAAATTATAGATACTCTATTTTAATGTTAGAATGTAAATAAAAAAATATAATTTAAGTTGTAAAAATATCTAAAAATAAAATTATAAATTTATTTTTGAAAAAATAAAAGATTGTTGAAATAAATTTATTTTCTAAAATATAAATTTAATTAGTAATATTGAATATATAATATATTTGTTTTTATATAATAATTAATTTTTATATATTAATCTTTCGTATAAAATTGTTGATTTCGTCTTTCTTTGAGAATCATTCACGTTAAAAAGATCAAAGGAAATAATTATTTAAAAAATATAATAAAATATATTAATAAAAAATACAAATATTTCTCCTTTTTACATGTTTTATTTTTTTATTATTAGAGTGAAAAAGTATATTTTTCATATTTTTTTAAAATAAATAAATAAATATATATAACGTTGTGTTTTATATAATTATTTTATTTTATTTATTTATTATTTTCAAAAACAAGTACCAATTGTTTTTTAAAAACTTTATGAGAGTTTTACCAGAAAGATTGTAATAAAATGCATGGGGAAGGAATAAGAATAAGTAACGTCCATAACTGAAATTGAGGGATTATTTACAACACTGCCACCGCTTTCGCAGATCCTTCCTTCTTCAATCGTTCAAAAACCAGTTATAACTGCCACACCCTCTTTCTCTTTCTCTTTCTCTCTGCAATTTCTTCTCCTCACTCACTGCACAATATTTGGTCGCTGCAATGGCGCGAGTGAACCTGGACGGACAAACGATCCCGATGCTGGCGATCTGCATGATCGGCGGCGGCGGCTTCATCGGATCGCACATCTGCGAGAAGCTGATGGCAGAAACCAACCACAAGGCCATCGTGGTGGACGTCTCCTCGGACAAAATCAACCACCTCCTCGACAGGTCCCTCCCCTGGGCGCACCGCATAGAGTTCCACCAACTCAACATCAAGAGCGATTCCCGCCTCGAAACCCTCATCAAAGCCTCTGATCTCGTAATTATTCTGCTCTTTCCTTACACACTGCTTTTCTTCACATTTTCAATATTCTTATTCCGGTGGCTAAATGCTCTTATGGTGTACAATGCGATTAAAGTAACCTGTAAAATATATTTATTATATAACCAATGTTTAAATAATGTATCAATACCGTAAGATATGTTTGATAATCTTATCTATAAATACGTGTAATCAGGTTTATTTTCAGGTATGTACATATGAAACAAAAAAATAATTGTCAGAAAGGTAAGTCACTCAAATAGATCTTAATATTTCGAGAACTAGTCTTTAATACCTGTTCCACAGATAGCTAAGTTCATCCAAAATGTTTTGCGACAATGTCAATGTTTTTGGAGTCGATAAGATAACAATATATATCTAATTGTGGTCATCATATTCCATTTTCTGTAATTTTCCGACCACAGTTTGAAACCTTTGCATATATTATATGAAGGAAATTAAATTTCGGGAGAGGGCTATGGTTCCTTGAATGATAACGTAGCTTGTTATTTATCATAGCCACAGTTTTAATTTGTGTCACGGTTGTCGTTTCGAGATTATCCTTGAAATAGTGGAAAATTATGAATAATAAGTGTAGTTGATGCAGCTGCAATTATTGTTGTTGCAACTGAAGTCTTCACTTTGGGACTATAATTGTTGATTGTGTAGCAATTTCATGGCAATTCTTGAAATTGTGGAAAATTAGGAACACATGTGGTTGATGAATTGAAATTGAAGGTCGTCGCCTTGAATTTTCGGTTGTAATTGCGCTTGCATTTTTTATTTTCATTTCTGAAAACCTTGGTTACAAATGTTATGCCACAATTTTAGGTATTATGAAAATGTTACGTATATTGACGATGCCATTGAAAAAATTACAAAATAATTAATGTTACAGCTGGAAATGTGGTTGCACAACGGTAATGATTGTAACAGTTTATGAACCAATGTGTACGCGTAGTTACAATTTTAGTCGTACTCTGGTAGTAATTGACAGCAAACTAAAACTTGGTTGGATTGATGATTTGTCATTTTTTTTTTTTTTTTTTTGAGATTGAGTTGTTGTTTGTTGTAGACTATCAATCTTGCTGCAATTTGCACGCCGGCGGATTACAACACACGTCCTTTGGATACCATCTTCAGCAACTTCATTGATGCGATTCCAGTGGTGGGTTTCGAAGATCGTGTCATTTCTTGAAATGGGTTTCGAAGTTTATGTGTGTGCATATGTAGGTAATTGGATTGTTCATGTGATGCAGATTAAGTATTGCACTGAGAACAACAAACGTCTGATCCATTTCTCTACGTGTGAGGTTTACGGGAAGACTATAGGTAGCTTTCTCCCAGAGGAATTTCGAAAGGTATCCCCTTATGTCAATGGCCCTTGTTAAATTATTTTATAAAATGCAAATTCATACACCTATTATTGATGCAAACGAATATTCACCTCGCTTCATTAGCAAGGTGTAAAATTAGGAGTTAAGTTTTGAAAGTTAATCATTAGGGTGTTTGCTTCTTTTTCATTTTCATTTCAGTTCAAATGATTTTGTTGATAATAGACAAGTATTGAACTGTTTTTAAGAGTTTACAAATAAAATGATGAGATTAATAAACTTATTTTCACGGTTTCTTAACCTAACATATTATAAACAGGAAATAGTGTGACTTTTTGGTATCATCATTTTAAGATTTAACATGGATTTGCATGATGCAGGACCCCAAATATTTCATCCTCAAGGAAGATGAAAGTCCTTGTATTTTTGGTCCAATTGACAAACAGAGATGGTCTTATGCTTGTGCAAAGCAAATGACTGACAGGCTAATATACGGTACACCGTGACCTGAATTTGTCTTTTGTTGATGATGGTTATGATTAAATTTTCTTTCTCTTCTTAACTTACCCTTCAGTATACTAACCTATAGCTGAGCACGCGGAGAATGGTCTCAAGTTCACCATCGTGAGACCTTATAACTGGATTGGCCCAAGAATGGACTTCATTCCCGGTGTGGATGGCCCAAGTGACGGGGTCCCCCGAGTCTTAGCTTGCTTCAGTAATGTAAATCAGCTAGTCCGTTTTGTTTTCTGTAAATGCCTTCATGAATCGTGATCTTAACAAGCTACTGTGTTTCACAATACTTGTTCCAGAGTCTCCTGCGTGGCGAGCCTCTCAAACTTGTTGATGGTGGGAAATCAAAGAGAACGTTTCTCTACATCAAGGATGCAATTGACGCTGTTGCGTTAATGATTGTAAGTTCAAAAGTGAATTTTCATCACCTATGTCGCTATACAAGCTTGGACTAAATATACAACATGCCAATATGACACAGGACAACCCTGAGAGAGCAAATGGGTATATATTTAATGTGGGAAACCCAGACAACGAAGTATCTGTGAAAGAACTAGCTGAGCTTATGATAAAGGTAGGCCCCAAAGGTTCAATTCAAACTGTTGTACTTTTTAAACTTGGTCTGTAAATATACTCATTTTCCTTCACATTTAAGGCTTATGCAAAGGTGTCTGATGTACCTGCCTCTAGTCTGTCAACTGTAAATGTGACTTCAGAAGATTTTTATGGTAAAGGATATGATGACAGTGATAGGCGCATCCCTGACATGACAATTATCACCAGGCAGCTTGGTATTCAATCATTACTCTTTTAAGCACTATGCATTATATATTCAGCAGAATCTTAACATTCTTCTTAATATCTATCCTTCTGGGTTTCAGCTTGGAAACCAAGGACACCTCTTGATAAACTGTTGGATGTTACACTCCAATATCAACACCGGACATATTCTCGTGCCATCGAGAGAGAAATTTCAAAACCGTCAAATTGACTAAAAGTTTTCTTGGAGATTCAGTTTATTTTTTTATGTAAACACGTCACTGCGATGAGAGGCAGACAAATGTACATGCTGCACTAATTGTGAGGGTATAAATCACAAATCAAGTGTATATCTATAGGTTTTCAACGAAAATTCTTCCATTCCCCTTTATTTTCACTCCCTTTTCTTGGGCTACGGCATTACATTACTTATTTGTCAAAATTTTGTTTATGTACACACCAAGTATAAAACGAGGTAGAGTAAAAAGATACTATTTACAACTATTTCACGCATTTACATTGATATGCATACAACATATCTCTTCGTTGTTCTACCTCCGTCATGATGTATTATATGGCAAGGCGTAGAGTTAGTTACTACTAGACTTGTAAGGAAATACAGAGATACAAAACAACTTCTCTTGTAAAGAAAAAAAATTATGGCATCATAATAATAAATTCCCATGAAAAATGTTGTGATAGAAGTGAGAGTGTTACATTATTATTGGAGATATAGTACATATCAATTAGAATCTATTGGAGATCCACACATCAATCATAATCATCAAATTTTGATTTGTCCAGCCTATCATAGAATTTAATGTTAAGTGCATCATTGAATTTAATGTTAATAAGATCAGTTTTATTTTATTTTTATTTAGGTACAATATTTATAAGAAAAATATTGTTTTGATTTTCAATGATAGATTAGTATACAATTTTATTTTATTTTTTAATCTATTTATATATCTTTTTGTATTTTTCCGAAATAATAAAATATACAATATATTTTTTGCATGGTATCAAAGCATGATCTGAATCATCCCTAACCTAGCGTCACCAACCATGGAAGAGAACAAGACAGAAAGTTTGACAACCAGTTTGGTCAAAGGGTCATCATTGGCACAAGGCCAAAACTATCATCAGTGGGTGAGATCAGTTAAGATCTTTTTTTAAGGAAAAGGGAAGGATAGTTACATCACAGGAGACTTCAAGAGTAAAAAAGAAGGTGACCCTAACATCAACAAATGACAATTGGAAAATAGTTTAGTCATATTATGGTTGCTCAACAATACCAAAGAGATGTGGGATGCAATGAAGGAAACATATTTAAATGCAGACAATACGTCTACAGTATTTGAGATCAAGAGCATACTCCATGACCTGTGACAAGGTGATTTCTCAGTCATTGAGTATTTTAATACACTCAATCGACATTGGCAACAACTAGATATATATGAAGATGCTCAATGGAGTTGTATAGAGAATAAGAAGAAGTATAAAGAATTGGTGGAAAAAGATAGGATATACAAGTTGGGGTTGAACACAAAACTTGATGAAGTCCAAGGGAGAATCCTTAGAACCAAACCTCTTTAAACAATTCGGGAAGTATTTTCGGAAGTGAGAAGTGAGAAGTGAGAAGTGAGAAGGGAGGAGAGTAGGAGGAAAGTGATGCTTGGAAAGTCAAGTACAGCTCCATCCATTGAAGGCTCAACAATGCATCACGGGGAACTAGCCTCGTCCATCCCAAAAGAAAAATCGGCTTTAGTGCGATCACTACAAGTAACTGGACACACTAAGGATACCTACTGGATCATTCATGGTAGGCCTTCAGAGGCGAAACAGACAAAAAACTTGGACAGTAAAGACAACACAACAGAGATAAATTCTAATTCATCTCCATTCAGTGAGGAGCAAATGAAAACACTACAAAAAAATCTTCAGCAAACAATGGCATTATCGGTTAGGCCACCCAAGTTTCTCACATTATTTAATAAAAATCAGGAGTTGTTTCAATAAATATGCAAATTGTCTAAACATACCCACATATCCTACTTGCCTCAATCTTATAAACCTTCTCAACCTTTCTCCTTAATTCATAACGATATATGGGGACCATCACGGGTAAACAATGTTACTGGATCAAGATAGTTTGTCACCTTCATAAACGATCACTTACATGTCATTTGGGTGCTCCTAATGAAGGAGAAATTAGAAGTTGGCAAAATATTTGAATATTTTTCATACTATGGTGGAAACACAATTTTTAAGTAGAATTAAGGTACTTAGGAGTGATAATGATCGAGAGTATTATCACTATGCACTAAGTTCCTACCTTCAGAAGCATAGAATCATATATCAGAGTTCATGTGTAAATACCCCTCAGCAAAACAATGTCACCGAGAGAAAGAATAGACATCTCTTAGAAGTGACCAGATCTCTCGTGATGGCTACAAATATATCCAACCATTTTTGGGGAGAAGTTGTCCTTTCTGCAACCTACCTCATAAATAGAATGTCTTCCCAAATCCTCAACTTTAACACCCCTTACTCTACTCTTGAAACCTCATACCTTACTAGTAGTACCCTTACATCCATTCCCTTGAAAATATTCGGATGTTTAGCCTTTATTCACAACCTTCATCCTCGTCACAACAAACTTGATCCAAAATCCATTAAATGTATTTTTCTCAGCTACTCCCCCCACTAAAAGGGGTATAAATGTTATTCACCTCAAACCAGCAAATTTTACCACACCATGGATGTCATCTTTTTTAGAATCAACCTTATTATCCCAAAGTTGGCTTTCAAGGGGAGCAAACTTATCCAATTAAAGTGGTAGAATCCCAACTTTTGGAATTTGAGCTAGCTGAATCTGCCCCAAATGCAAAACTAGCCAAGACTACACCTACAACAGAGGAAACTACAATAGCAAATGTAGAGCTAACCGAGACTGCACCTACAGTAGAGGAAACTGTACCAACTGAAGCTAGAGAGAGGACTGCATCTCAGCAAAATCAAAGCCCTATTACATACTTCAAAAAGAGAACGAAGGGAGTAGAGTCCAACATAGCACAAAGGCAAAGCCATGAATCAAACTAGACTCCAGAAAATGAGTTTTTCTAGGTAATATCGTTTCTAATCTTGAATTTATTGATGATATTGGTACTCCTATTGCCTTAAGAAAAGGAGTGAGATCTTGTAGTCAACACCCTATTAGGAATTATGTGTCCTATGGAAAATTGTCACAGGTATATAGGTCGTTTGTGATAGCTTTTGACAATATACATATCCCAGTGAATGTTCAAGAGGCACTCCAACAACATGAATGGACAGTAGCAGCAACAGAAGAAGTCTAGGCCTTGGTTAAAAATGGCACATGGGAAATCACCACCCTACTGGAAGGGAAGAAATCGATTAGATGCAAATGGATATTCTTCATCAAATACAATGCTAATTATAGTATAAATTGGTACAAAATCCGACTAGTGACTAAAGGATTTACCCAATCATATGGTCAAACTCAATTCAATCCGAGTCATACTCCTTTTAGTCGTAAATTTAGACTGATCACTTTATCAACTAGACATGAAGAATGTTTTCCTAAATGGTGAACTAGAAGAAGAAGTCTATATGCAAATTTCCCTAGGATTTGAATCATCTAGAACCTCAAGCATAGTGTGTAGGCTCCAAAAATCTCTATATGAACTTAAACAATCTTCAAGAGCATGATTTGAGAGATTGACTCGAGTTGTCAAGGAAGATGAATTCAACTAATGTCAATCAGATCACACTATGTTTGTCAAACACTTTGTGGAAGGGAAGGTAGCCTTGTTCATTATTTACATTGATGATATTATTATCATAGGAAACTATTATGATCAAATCAAGCATTTGAAGAGACTTTTGGCCAAGGAATTTGAATCAAGGACTTGGGTCAGCTTAAATACCTTCTAGGAATGGAAGTTGATCGGACAAAGAATGGTATTTATGTATTACAAATAAAATACACACTGGATTTACTTCATGAAACCGACATGCTTGGATACAAAGTAATCAACACTCCCATAGAACCGAAAAAGAGAGGTGAAGAAGAAAGTCCACCAACTGATAAAAGATCGATATCAAAGACTGGTTGAGAAGCTAATCTATGTAACTCACACTAGGCCCGACATTAGGTTTGTTGTCAGCTTGACTCATCGCTATACATCTAATCCAACTGAGACCAACATGAAAATGGTGAACAAAATCCTCCAATACCTTAAAGGTACACCAAGCCGAGGGCTCTACTTCAAGAAGAACTCAAACTAAGGTATTGAAGTCTATACTGACTCAGATTGGGTAGGATGCCCTTTTGATAGGAAATCAACTACAGACTATTGTCCTTTGTGTGGGAAAACTTGGTGACTTTGAGAAGTAAGAAACAACCGACAAGGAGTAGTGTGCAGAAGTTGAATTCAAAGTTATTGCTCAAGGTATCTATGAAGGAATTTGACTTAAGAGGATGTTGGATGAAATCAAAATTCCTATCAATTACATTATGAGGATATTATGTGATACCAAAGCTGTTATAAGCATTACAAAAAACTCAATCCACCATGATGGGACAAAGCATGTGGAAATTGATTGACATTTTATTAAAGAAAAAATTGACCATGGTATTATAAGTGTTTACCATGTTCCATCTTGTAGACAAACAACAGATATCGTGACAAAGATTCTTCTAAGAAACATATATGAAAACATTAGATCCAATCTGAGTATGATAAACATCTATCACCCAGATTGAAGAGAGTGGTGAAGATCTAGTGCATATAAATTAGAATCTATAGGAGATCAATACATATCAATCACAATTATTTTATTCTAATTTGTACAACCCATAATATGATTTAATGTTAATAAGATCGGTTTTATTTGTTTATTTAGGTACAATAGAGAATATTTTCCTAATTTTCATGGATAGATTAGTGTAAAATTTTATTTCCTTGTATTCTATTTATATCTTATTTTATATTTTTTCAAAACAAGAAAATATACAACATATTTTTCACAATTATAAATAGAAAAAATAACAATAATTAGTTGAAGATGACATGTGTTTTATTATATAGGAAGTTTATGATAACTAAGGTTTTCTATGAGAAATAATTTTAAGATGAAGTAGTGATTAAAATTTCATATAAAATTCATCATGACGTTCAATAAAAAAAAACTTGAAAATATGGATATTTTGAGTTTTGAAGTTATTTATATTTATATGCATATGGTAAATATCCAAATCCTAGCAAATCCTCCTTAGATTATTAAAGAATTTGGTCACACTATAATGAATGCATGAATGAGCCACTCTCGTCACCATATTTTATTATTTTGTATTTCTCTAGATTTTCTTTGAATTTTTATCCTTTTGGTGAGAATTCGTACACTTTAGGTTTGGACTTTTGTTTTTAGGTTTTATTTTGGATTCATGATGAGTTTTCATAAATTTCACGAAATTGGGAAAAAAAATTAGGTCATACGTAAAACTCATATATGTAAATCACTTTTAAATCATTAGTAAAATTTAGAATACGTTAATAATTTGGAAGAGTTATAATTCTTTTTGTTTTGAAATTTTATCTTGAGTCTTTGAATTAAGTGACAACTCCTTTTATTACTCACATGGACTTCTATACCAAGTATTTTCATTAATCTTTCATTCTATATTTTCCCCTTTTGAGATTTGTTTCTCATTTACACTTTCTCAAAGTTCGTCTGTTCTTGAGTAACACATAATTGGCACCAATCTCTTCTCCCATCGCTGTTTGCTCAGTGTTGTCGGTCAAATACCCTATTTTCCCCCTTCCGCAGATATACATACAAGCTGATCAAGATCAAGGCCAGTAGAAGAAAAAATCGATCCATTGAGACCAATTCTTGTGATTTGAATTGAAGGGGATTCACCAAAAAGTCATTTTGGGTTCAGTGTTTCTTTTAACGGTTATTGTTCAGTGTTTACTCAACCTTTATCAATGAATTTTCATGCATTGATTAAATCAACAAGTATACATAAGGTAAGATCCCTTGACGAAATTTCATACCAACCTTCAAAGGAATGTACCTTCAATTTTTTTTTTTGTTACACTTCATAGTCTCAACTCAAGTCAAACCCAACCCCATTCTTTATAAAAGAAAAGGAAAGGAATTTCCAAACAACGGAACTGATTTTACAAGTGAGCTTGTCTGGTTAGGAGAAAATTAAGGTAGCAAAAACTACCCTTTGTAAGATGATGTTATGCAACACCAACTATGTAAGCATTCCATGAATCTTGTTGCTGAAAACTTGTTGCCTCTTCATATTTTACATTCTTTCCCGCACCAAATCCCTCTGTTCTCATAATTTCAGTGCTGTCAGGCATCTCTCGAACCCAAAAGTGAACAGATCGAAATCCAGCCTCTTCTAGGCAATCCCTAATCTCAGGCAACGTCCACCTGAATAACCAAACCAAGATTACAATTGAAGAAGCACAACCTTTATGATGATATTGAGAAATATTGAGCATATTTTCACCTCAAAAGAGAAAATCCTTTTCAAAATTGACGGTGGAATAAAAAAAAAATACAAGAACTTACAACCGCCAGCTGTACGAAAATGCATGACGAAGTTTTCTTTGTTCCTTCTTCATATGGAAATGGAGGCTAATCCTTGTCTTCCGTTGAATAATGTCAAATTCAGCTTGCTCCCAAACATACTACAGGAAAATATTCACAACTTCAATATTTGATAGTCAAAGAAATTCAGTAAGAATATCCTCGTTTTCATGTACTAATAACATATATGATGCCACTGTATCGGAAAAACATAATATTTGGTTAAAAGGTTCTAGCACCTCAAATTTAGTGTCATATATATGTTATATCATAATCATGCAAAATAAAAAGGTCAGTGAAAAGCTACAAACAGTGGCAGAAGAGAGGAGAAAAGATAAAAGAACTGAAATTTGAAAATTAACAGTGAGACTCTGACATACCTGCAAATGCAATAGGTCAATCATGAAAGACATAATGAGTGAACATAACACAAGGGGAAGATGTCGGAAAATTGAGGATCATGTGGCAACAAAAATGAATATGAGTGGAACAATTTTAGTAAAGAATGTATCAACTATCTATCTTACTATGTTCAGATGTGTTCAAAATTTCTTTGAAGTGTATCCAAGTGGATCATACCGTAAAATTAGGAAATCTTCTCTGAAGCCTCAACTTGTGCTCTGAAGATGCACCCCCATATAAATCCATCACAAAAATTCCACCTTTAGTTGACAACGTATTACGAGCATGCTTGAAATACAAAACCAGGTCTGCTCGTTTATGTAGACAACAGCAGCTGTAGTTAAAAGCGCACACAATATCTCTTCCAGGTAATGTTAAATTTGTCGTAGTAAACTTATCATCTTGAGCAACAGAGCCTGTTGTATCTTCCGATTCCGGCACACCAGTCTGCATATTCTCTTCATTCTGCGACAGTGAAATGTTGCTTACCAGCATCTGAGGATCCATTTTCACAAGCTTAGACTGAAGAGGTTGTAGGACATTCCCATGAAAGAGGGATATTCTTGAAAATCCATCAGCCCCAAGTTTAGGTATGTTGTTTTCCATGCACCAATTGAGTGCTTCAAGATCCAAATCTAATCCTACTGCTGTCTTTCTTGAATCACTGCGGAGCCATTCTGTACTGATAAGCATAAATCACTGTCAGGTAAGTAGACTAAGTCTGACAAAAAACATCAAGAGACATCAAAAAGAGAAAATCTTTAACAGTGTGTTAGGAGCTGCATTACAAACCACATTATCAATGATGCAGAAGCTACAGTATGTAGTTACACAATTGAATGTGTGTCTCTCCCTCAGTAAAAACAGTTTCAGACATGCACTAATTGAATTTAAAAACCCCACTTTCAAATACATTTTACTAATCTGGCATTTAGAGCAATATATGAATCATCTCTGACAGTAAGATACCACCCAGGATACAAAGCAACTTCATAATTTAAAATTGTTCCTACCTCAAGTCTTCTAAGGAGGAGAGTAAACACTACCCTCGACCTTACCTCCTAATTGAAACTTTTTCCCGAGTTGGAACAAAAATAAAAAATGAATGTTATTTGCACATAAATAACAAAAGAACAAAATTCACACATACTCATATTAATATATGGTAAGTGATCATAATCCATTGAATTTGACCAGCGATAGAGACAGTGTCTTTCTTTAAACATGTTAATATCTTATAAACAAATTCAAGTCTTCAACCAAAAACAAAACCCCATTGCAGTCCTTAAGATTGTGAGTGTTGATCACTTTGGATCTGATTTAACAAAATCCTTACTCTAGTTCTTGACTGTTGTAAAATGTCATTCTTTTTACTCTTATTTTTCAGTAGAAAAGAACATTGTACATTCACTGTCATGGCACCCTACTATGAGTTCGTAACACAGTTCCGAACACAATAATGATCAACTATTTGCAAAGTCAGATACCAAAGGGATGAATTTATAATGAGAGGGACCTTATCAAAAGACTAACAAGAATTCGCTCCTTCAACCGAAAGAGATAACAATTTAGAATGTCCAAGAAAGAGTATTAATAACTTAAAAGAGGTATGAATATGGGAGGATGTACCTGAGAAACGCAGTGCCACAGAAATCTTCTTGAAGATGGAGCGGCATCCTTCCACCCACGTACATGAGAAAGAACTTTTGCAGATAACTTATGTCCCCTTTAGGAGACTGCACAAACACAAATAAACAAAAAACATGGTTCAATAAGCCACATTATGAACTGCTCAATCAACACAACACATCACACAATAACCCATCAATTTGGCCGCTAGTAAACTCACCTAGAAATAACACATAACTAACAAGATTGAATCTTGCCCACTTCATACATCCCAACAATCAACACCCAGCTAAACCAAGTATGCCCATTGACAAAAGAATCAATATTTTTAAGATGGGGACACAAACCTGCACAGATTGTTGGTAAAGGAGGAACTTTGAAGGCATATCTTGTGATTGATTTTCATAATTTATCGTTGCTTCATCATCATCTTCTTCTTCTTGTTCCTCGTTGCTGTCATCAACAGCTTCTTCATCCGAGGGTGAGAGTCTTGGAGTGTCATCAATATCATGGTCTTCTTGAAGATAGCTGACGGAGCCTCTTCCACGGTGACCCCTCCCATGCCTCTGCTTCTGCTTTTCTCGTTTTCCCATTTCGCCGCCGAAAAGTGAAACCCCAACTGTCTGTAACGTCACAAGTTAACACATGAGTATTCATAAATAATCAAACTTTTCTTTTTATTATAATTATTCTATAATTTATTTTATATAATTAAAGTGAATTATTAGATGAATGTTTATTTAAAAAGACATAAAGTTATCATTTTTTTTATAAGTTGTTTTTATAATATATTTCATATTCTAATATTTATACTTATAATAAATGAAAACAAGTATTCATTAATTGAGATATTAGTTTTGATAATGTTGAAAGGAAAATTGTTAATAAAAATTATTAAGAAAAAATAAATATTTTATTATGAAGGTTAAAAAATTTACTTAAATCTAAAAGAAAGTTATGACCAATTTTTAATCACGAATAAAAACTATCTTCAAAATTGCCTAATAAATATTTTTTAATGTTATTTCCTTGATTTACTCTTTATAAAATATTACTTGTTATTTTCTAAGTTCTAACATATTTCTCTTGTGTTAGTAAATATGAAATGTTTCTAACATTTTTTAACATGATAAATACATTTAATTTTGTTTAATATTTTCTAAATAAAAAATTATTGAAGGATTTACATGAAAAATAGTATATCATTACACAATTAGGTAAGAAAAAGTCTTTTTGACTTGTCTAATTTTTATTTTGATTAGTGGAACACAAAATTTTAAGTTTTAAAATAGTGTTAGTGTCATATGCAGAAATTTGTGATTGATGGATTACTTAAAACTATTTCATATTATTAGTAAAATAATTATTTTCTCTAATTTAAAATTCTGGGTTTAACTAATTTATTCTAAAACCTTAAATATATCCTTCCTTATGACATTTGAACATACTTCCAAGCTTACAAACTATAAAATAAATTGAAAAAAAAAATATTTTTCTATAAATATAGAGCATTATAAATAATAATAAAGTTTAAATATGTTTTTAGTTTTAAATTTTGACATTTTTGTTTTTTTTACCATGTTTATTATTAATTATAGTTATTTTAATATTAAAAAATATATTAATTAGTATAATTATTAGAAACAGAAAATATTTAATTAAGACAACTATATATTTTAGACATATGATTTAATTAATTAATGTATATATTATTTAAAATAGTTATGTTTTACTTAAAACTTATAATTTTTTATATATTAATTTTGATATTATAATATTGAATCACTGTAAAATACACTTTTTTCTAATATATCATAAACACTAATTCTGTCTCTAAAATCAAATATAATAAAATATGTTTATATTTTTAGATTTAATAATTATAATACATTAAAATTATATATAATATAAAAAATAATCCTTACTTTTTTTCTATTTTTACTCAATTTAACAATAATATATAATAACTGACTAAATATGTTTTGAATTCTGCAAGTATTATTATGTCTTATTTTAGTTTTTATGATTTTTTAACTGCTTTTAATCTTTCACATTTTATTAGTTTTTTCTACTCATTATTATTTATAATTTAGTACCAAAAATACAAAATGTTAATAAAACAATTAAATTGGTTTTAAGTGCATAATTAAATTAATTATTTAATTTTTTTATATATAAGATAATCACATAATTTATTACTTTCAAAACACTATGAGTAGTAATTAACATTTTGTTTAGTGAAGGAAAATTATGATATATAATTTTTTATTTTATAATTACAAATTTATCATTTTATAGGTAAAGAAAGAGTTTTTTCCACTTTGGAAAAACAGATTAGGGTTCGAGGATATAATTCTCGATTCATACTTTTCCATAGACATTAAGTATAACTTTTTTGTAAAGCAGCAAAATTATTTTCCATCACGTAATCCATTCCTAATGAAATAAACAACAAACAACCCTAAAACTAGGTCACAGAATTTGATTAAGCCGGCTTTTATTTATCTTTCTAATGAATAAAGAAATTCAGAAACTATGAAAACATGAAGGGAACTCGTGATGTTTTACTAAGTTTTGGATCTATACCAATTTTCATGAACATGGTAGGAAATGATGACCATCTAATGGCAAAAGTCAGTGAGTGAGTGATGGAAGCCATAAAATAAAATTTCAAACTTATTTATTCATTACAAAATTTAGTCATATCCATATCTCATTACAAGATAAAGGGGCTACACTCTATGCTGCTCATAATTCAAGAGCCCGAAACTAGCAGAGAGTGAGTACATCGACTAGATGTTCTTGCGAGTACAGAAGTAGAACCACCCTTCTACATGTAGCAAACATTCACATCAGTCACATGGCAAAACCAAGAAACTCTTTCCATTATCTTTACCTTTACGAAGGTGCTATATATTATCTAGAATAAGCAAAGTGGTCATAGTACGTGAATCAAAGGATTGATGAAAATACTGCCATGGCTATAACTCCCCTCCAATGACTTCATATACCGATACCATCAACCTGCTCTATATTGCTTGTCCTCACAGGAAAGCCAGCAGTAAACCACACGAACTATTCCCTGCCAGAAAACATATTAATAAAATCAGAAATTAAAAAGACAAAATAAGAAAGAAGAGGAAAGTACTTGGCAAGCAAAATTGTACTTTCAAAACAGTTTCGGAACAACTCAAACATGAAGGTAAAAGTCATTATTATACTTTAGCGATACGAGTAGTGTGATTTACCATTAGATTGAGAAATTCCCAGAGAAAATGCTAGTTTTATTATAAGAAAGTTTGTGACAGCAAGGAAACCATTATAAATATTGGTCTGATACTGAGAAACCAGCACAGGTCAGATATAAAAATTGTCATCAACATATGTATAGAATATCAGCACATCTTTGTATGAAATTAACGAGGCATGATGACTCTTTTGCATCAATTCACTAGAAGACTCACTACCACACAATAGCTAGCTATTTCATGCAACAACTACTGCTTTGGAAATTCTACATCAGAAAATTTAGAAATTCAATACAAAGTGCAAGCAGATGTCCTCATGCAAAAACAAGCAATCATGTCTCAGGAATTGACATGCACTTAGGTAACATCATTGCCTGGATAAAGCACTTAGTGTCAGTAATAACTAAGTATTTTCTCAATAAGATGGGTTGCACTCATTGATTTTTTAAACTGCTCATTCAGGCACAGCAAAAGAGTTATAGAACAAAACAAAGGGTGTCGGGGAGAGTTTAAATGTTTTTGGTAAGAAAGGTACACCTGTGTTGTCCGAATGAGCCCATTAAGTTCATTACTAAAAAAATTAATGCAAACTTTAACACAATTGACAACAAAATGCATGCTGAAACAAGAATGTCTCTACCGACAAATTGACATGCATAATGCACCAACATAAGCATCAATCAAGGCAGACAAAGTCCTTCACTAGGATAATCAGATTAACTGACTTCAATAGCAAAAATTTCATAAATGATAAAGCACAGACATATAAAGACTAAGTGTCTCATGCTCCAGCCAAAAGTTTAGTCCATTATTCAAATTTCTGCTTTGAGCAACAAACAAAAATATTTCCTAAATTCAATTCAGTTAAAATCACATCCATATTGACATATGTAGGGTTTAAAAAATCATAAACTCTTCTAATTTGCAAAGACAAGCACCAAAAGCTGTAAATTCCTGATTCTTACAGCAGTATAGCTGCCAGAAATGTCCAATGGGCAAAAATCGTAGGGGATCCATGAGACTGAACATGGATTACGATATGGCAGCCAGCATCCAACTGAACCTAGCAATGCATTACATGCAATTCTCTTATTTCATTACTGACCGTGTTATGCGTCTTTGGAAACGCATGTCAATTTAGCCTTTGATGAAAAAGCTTTCCCAAGGACATGTGTATCCGGAGTAATAAACATGTTCCAATCCAAAGAAGCTATGGCTAAAAATTTCTTCCAAAACCAACTCTACCATTTTTTTTTCCTTTAAGATAACGGTTTCATCTTACAGCATGTTTGGAAGCCCGTTTGTACTTGGGTAAGGGCGTCCGCTCGAAGCATCGCAGCGTGTTTGGATGCCGGTTACCACCAGCGAACGGGTGTCTTTCGAGAGAACATAAATACACAAGCATCAGAGATGATATTCCAACCCTTGCTTGATCTATATTATACCAAATTTCCACACTGATACAACTAACTAACCAAACAAGTGAATAAACTAATTTTGTACAGTGCAACTATTGCAAACACATTTCAGTGCATAGAGAGAACCAAATCAAAGCAATACAATAAAAACATCATCACACATACCACTTAATAATCGATCCAAAGAGAAAATGCTGCATTATGGGGACCTTCTCAAGGACCTCAGCCTTGTACATCTTGAGCAAGCCACTGTTCACTTTGTTCCAATTGGGCACCCCACTGATATCATCCAACATGGGGGAGTGCTCAGCAAACACCCCCTTCTTCACCTTCTTCACAAATGCGATGCAAGCAAGGTAAAGATACTCATTGGAGAAATTCTCCAAGATATCCTGATTATGAATGGACTTAGGCTTCATATACTTGTGATCAATCAACTGGGAAGACCCAAATATGAAGGGCAAAAAGTGGTAATCATCAAGCCCCCACACACCATGAGACCCTGCAGGCTCCAAGCAATACAGCAACTGCAACTTCCTCATCAGCTCCAAGTACTTCACAAACACCCTCGCTACCACTGCCGGGTAATCCTCCTCTCCGATCACCCCCAGCCGCGCAAGGCAGTACAGCCACGCCGCAAAATTCGTCTCGTGGCCAGTGCCATAGTCGATGCGGCTCGCGTTCCCGAAGGAGTCGCCGAAGTAGGGAACGAGTTCGACAGCCGCCGGGTGGAGATTCTCCGGGAGGAGCTTTAAGATCAGTGATTCTGCGGATATGGACACTTTTTCGTGCCAGGTGCGATAAGCGACGTTGCCGTAACGCGCAGATTGCGGGACACGGGGGGTTTCGTCGGCGAGTAGGGTTAGGGTATCGAGGATGGAGAGAATGGAGAGAATTGTCGGTGATTGGTGGCACTCGTCGGAGATTTTATGGCCGCGGATGGATTCGGAGAGGGCTACGACGAAGCCGAGGAAGTTTTTTCCGGAGAAGGAGTCGTGGAAGCGGCGAATGTCGTCGGCGGAGTGGATGCGCTTGGTGGGGGTGTGGAAGTCGTAGGGTGGGGGCAAAATGGGAACTTTCTGGGCTTGTGGGACCGGGGTAAGGATGATGGCGCGGGTGGAGTTGGGGTCCGGAGGGATTGCGGGGGCGCGGATGGGGCGGTAGGTTGGAGGAGGGGAGAAGATAGGGATTGGCGCAGGGGGGGCGAAGGTGGTAGGGCCGCCGCACTTACAGCAGGTACCGGAGGTGGGAGGGGAGGAGGAGTGTTGATGTTGGTGGGTCTCGTTGGAGTGGTGGTGGTGGGTGTCATCGGGGTGGTGGTGAGTGTCGTTGGGGTGGTGGTGAGAATCTTCCATGGTTGCGATGGGGATGGTGGTGATGCAGAGGAAGTGAAGGAGGAAAGGGAAAACCTTGAAGGGTTTGCGGGCCGGACCCAGTTATACGTATACCCGTTGGGTTTTCGATAAGCCCTTTTTTTTATAGTAGTTATATTCACATTATGATTTACAAAATAAATTTAAATACATATTATTATTATTATTATTATTATTATTAAAATGTCTTTTTGGTAGTGATTTATAAAAACACCAAATTCCCTTGATTAAAAAAAACAAAATTCAAACGCAACGCATTACACACCGTTCGATCTTCATCCTAGAATTCCAATTCACAAATATATAAAAACTCTCGAATTCACGAAATCCGATTCCGTGAGAAGGAAGGTTCGACGGAAGAACCTTCTCTGACTCGCCCAACCAACCCAAACGCTTTATCTTTCTTCGCACATCCTTTTTCTTCTTCTTCTTCTTCATCAGATCATTCAAAGCCCCCCAAAAAAGGAATCTCTGAAGAAAAGGAAGAAGATGTATAGCAATTTCAAAGAACAAGCAATAGAGTACGTGAAGCAAGCGGTGGATGAAGACAATAAAGGTAATTACGCGAAAGCGTTCCAACTATACATGAACGCGTTGGAGTACTTCAAAACGCACCTCAAGTATGAGAAGAACCCTAAGATCAAGGAGGCCATCACGCAGAAATTCACGGAGTACCTGCGCCGGGCCGAGGAGATCCGGGCCGTCCTTGACGATGGGCCCAGCGGCCCACCTTCCTCCGGGGATGCTGCTGTCGCTACCAGGCCCAAGACCAAGCCCAAAGACGGCGCTGGCGGCGACGGGGAGGATCCTGAACAGGCCAAGCTCCGGGCCGGGCTCAACTCCGCGATCGTTAGGGAAAAGCCCAACGTCAAGTGGAACGACGTGGCCGGACTGGAGAGCGCGAAACAGGCTCTGCAGGAGGCGGTTATCTTGCCGGTGAAGTTTCCTCAGTTTTTCACCGGTGAGGTTTTGACTTTTCGAATTTTGATTATGTGATTGATGGAACGGTGATGTTGTAACTTGAAATTTGAATTTTATGTTGTTTGGTGGTTCAGGTAAACGACGACCTTGGAGAGCGTTTTTGTTGTACGGACCACCGGGGACGGGGAAATCGTATTTGGCCAAGGCTGTTGCGACAGAAGCTGATTCTACGTTCTTCAGGTGGATTTAATGAATTTCTGTTGTTTAAGCTTGATTAGGTATGTGCTTGGGTGAGGTTTTACAAAATTGATTTTTGGGTTTATGCGATTTGGATGTTTCTGTGCTAAAGCAAGTTAGCCGCAACACTTAGTGATTGTTTGGTTTCATCTTGATTTTCCACAATCATGTTGAGATACCACCAGATAATATGATTTTTGATTAATTTTTATGTTAGTTTCACTTTGAGGAATTTATTATGTGTCTAGAATTGGTCATTAGTTGAAACAACTTTAGATAGTTTTTGCGTTTGATAAAAATTTTATACCCAATTTTAATAATACTAACCTGCTTTTATTATTAAAATATTTAAACTTAAATCACTCCACTTCGAAATCAATTTTAATCGCGATAAATTTCATTCAACTATCAAGTTTGTCAACGTTAACCCAAACACACAGCTAGTACTTCAGTGTAATTTTATTTATGCAACATGAAATTAGCTGAAATTACAAAAACTCAAAAAACAATTCTGGATCCAAAATGAATTCCTTAACAGGAAACAAAACATGTGATCATTAATTTAGTTCCCTGTGCGTGATTATGATTGATTTAGTTCCCTGTGCTTGGGGATGCAAATCTAACAGTTCTGCCGGATAGTGATTTTGTATGGAAAAAGAAGGTTGTGGATGCCAATGCTTAGGTGGGCAATTTTTTTGCAGCATTTTTTAACTTTTGAATTATTCACCAGTGTTTCTTCGTCAGACCTGGTTTCAAAATGGATGGGTGAAAGTGAAAAGCTGGTTTCAAATCTTTTCGAAATGGCTCGTGAAAGTGCACCTTCTATCATATTCATTGATGAAATAGATTCTCTGTGTGGTCAGCGTGGAGAGGGTAATGAGAGTGAAGCTTCAAGACGAATTAAAACTGAACTTCTGGTGCAGATGCAGGTAATAAATTTATGGTTTCAAGGTGGGAAGGGGTGGGGATATGTTGATTAGATCAGTATTTCTTAGTTGACATTTGAATTGCATTATGCGGAACTAGTCAAGAAGTCTGTATCCCGGTTTAGGATGGCGGAGAATTATCCTTAGTTTATTTGAAGAACAGGGTTGAGTTTAGTTTCATCTTCTTATTGATAGTTTGGGACTTTATTGTTTCCTTTAATGAGCCATCTGAGACATTTCCTTTTCTTGCTGGGATACCTGTAAAATATCTTTTTATATCTTTTGTGTCTTCGAATATTTTGGAAAATCTTAGAATATTAATATGTTGTTTCTTTGGGTTAGTAGTCCTTTCATATTAGGGGGAGTAATACTAACTAAACCAGTACTTCACCTATAACTTTTAGTAGTTATTGTTTTATTATAGCTAGAACTAGTGAAGAGAGTAAAGTACAGTTTTTTAGTCCTGTGAAAAGGGAGAAACAGTAACCAAGAAGTTTTTAAGAAGAATCTTATGATAAATCCTTTGAAGAATTGGTCTTTAATTGAGTTGAATGACATTGTGTTATTCATATTTTATGATAACCAGGACTGTTATATTAGATTTTCTATCATCTTACATAACATATCATTCAAGAATATCATTGTCTTTTTTTCTCCCTTTCTCCCTCACCTTACCACCTAAACAATATAAATCATAATGCAAACAGTTTTTATACTTGATGTATGCTACTCATTTCTTATAGTATTCCACCATTGTGCAAATTGCCTTATATCTACATATGTTATATTCACTGTTTTGAAAACCGGATCGAACTGACTGGTTGAACCGGGACCGGACTAGAAATAGAAAACGGTCTATTGCTTTCAAATAACCGGACTTTATTAAACTAGGACAAAATCAGGAAAACCAAGAAAACAGACTGGGTTTTTGGGTCGAACTAATTTTGGTAAAAAAAAATTTAGGATCAAATTTTTTTAATATAATTTTTTTATAAAAAATATAATATATTTTAGTTTTTTTATCTTATTATTTACTTCAACTTAAAATAATAGTTATTTTATTGTATTTTGATCTTATTTTAACAATTATTCATCTTTTAATTTCAAATATATTTTATATTTATAATTTTGATTGTAACCTACAGTGACCGTGATAATAATTTTTATTATTTTACTTTCTTTTTATAAAAAAACATTATTATTAATTAACTTATTATATATTTATTATATTATAAAAATATTATTTTATTAAATCTGATTGAACCTTTAAACCCTGAATTCATGTTTTTACCGGTTTTAAAAACATTGGTTATATTTCATTCTATTCTTCGTTTTTGTATTTCCTGAAATGTGAGTCTTGACATAAATTATTCAATATTTTAATTGTGTGAACGTTTGCAGTTGTTATAGTATTATTTATTTATTTTTTAAATGTAAAAGAATCTGTTAACATATTTGATGAATTTTAGCCATACAGAAAGCTGCACCCACTTTTTGATTGATGACTCAAGTCTTGTCACATTTAGTTCCTTTCTGTTAAGCTGAAAAAGTAGCTATTTTTTTTATCCAAAATAAATAGTGTTTGAGTAATCCCTACCCTTATAATTACTGTTATTATATATCCTTATGGTACTAATTAAGAAGATTCAAGGTTTCCAACAGCTTTGATGTCAATTTTCTTTTTTCTTTCTGAGTTTGCTCCTAGTCATAATGTAGGTTTTCCACTTAACATTGTAGGGTGTAGGACATAATGATCAGAAAGTTCTTGTTCTAGCAGCCACAAATACGCCTTATGCTCTAGACCAGGTGAGAAGAAAATAGTTGTATTTACTAATTCTTATTTCAAGCAATGAGATACTATTTTGATTAATCAACTTGTAATTGTAGGCAATAAGGCGACGTTTTGATAAGCGTATATACATACCCCTACCAGATTTGAAGGCTCGCCAACACATGTTCAAGGCATGGACAATATACACGATGATATTCATTGAATGATTAATCTTATTGTGTATTGTGAACCTAGCACATGGTCTTACTATGTCTCTTTTCTTGGTTGGTAAATTGAACAGGTGCACCTAGGAGATACTCCCCATAATTTGACTGAAAGTGATTTTGAACATTTGGCACGCAGGACAGAGGGGTTTTCCGGTTCAGATGTATCTGTCTGTGTAAGTTTGATTTTTATGTGGAATACCTGGTTACAATGATCATGTTTATTTAGATGACTTTCATGGTAAAGGTAATTGGACCTATTCTACAGGTGAAAGATGTTTTATTTGAACCTGTTCGCAAAACCCAAGATGCCATGTTTTTCATTAAGAATCCTGAGGGGATGTGGATTCCATGTGGGCCAAAGCAACAGAGTGCAATACAAATTACAATGCAGGAGCTTGCTGCGAAAGGACTTGCTTCTAAGGTATTCAAGCTGATGCAGATTTTGATGACAGTAGGACTGAGAACTTCATTTTCTAACTCATTATTTAAGAATAAGAGTTTTTATGTTCTTGTTTTCTGTACAGATCCTGCCACCACCTATATCGAGGACAGATTTTGACAAAGTACTTGCTAGACAAAGACCCACTGTAAGCAAGGCCGACCTCAACGTTCATGAGAGATTCACAAAGGAGTTCGGAGAGGAAGGATAGTTCTGACGGAATTTTTCTTCGACCATCTGCACTAGTTTAAACATGTTATGATTTGTAATTTACAGAGCTATTGGATCAAGTGAAGTGCATAAGTTTACTTCTCATAAATTGTGTATAAAAACAGTCTGAAATTATCAGAAAAATAAATTTCATGTGAATATGTGATGCCGGCTACTCATGTTTGTATGCATTTTTAATTTAGGATTCACAAATTTTAAGGTTGTTTTAGGTTTGAGTGTTTTTCCAGTGGTTCACAAAGCTGCTTGTGCTTCACCAAGCTGTAGCCGACTGACTAGTTTCATTTAACCATAAAATATTGTTTTCAACAGATTGTTCAACCAGATGTGAGTTTAGTTTGCAATTCAAATTACTCCTATGAAAGAGCATGTCAATTTATAAGACTTTCGTTTTCATGGTAGAGTCAGAAGTCATCAATAGAAACATTTAAGTTTTCAGCCGCCTCTATTTGTGTGAATCTTAGGGACGGCCAGTTGATGATTTGAAGAAGTAAGCTGTCTACTGATCAGTTCTTAGTGTGAGGGGGAGGTGATTAGCCAAATGGACATACAAAAGCAAAATAGTTTGTCACATCCGTTGCAAACGAATAGGAAAAATTATGAAGTGTTTAAAGAAATAAAAACATCACTGGAAGGAAATTCAATCATTCTTCTTGGTATGCACACTATAAATTTGGATGATTAAGTTGGGAGTTTTAGTTTAGTCGAATTTAATTCAATCCAAATCGATTAAACCCCAAGATGATTGATTTAGTAAACTCAAATCAAATCAATGTTTTTGAATGAAATCAAATCAATATTATCTTTTTTTATTATTAATTATTTTATGATATAGTTATATAAATTATTATTATTATTATCATTCTTATTATTGAGCTTATATAAGTTAATTACAGGACAAAATTATTGTTTATTTATTTTAATAATAAAATTATGTGTGAATTCTTTCTTTACAAAATTATATATTTTTTCTTTATCTTAAAACAGTATTTTATATATTTGCATGTAATTGGATTCAATTGTTCTGAATCAATTGATTGATAGTGTTTGATTTTGAATTTTGAATTTTGAAAAAATTAAATAAATTCAAAAACTTTCTTAAATCTGATTCAAACTAATTCGGGAACACATATAGGATAAATAATAGTGGTGCTTTGGATGAAGCATGTAGTAACTAACTACAGTTTTCTTATTCTTTTTCTAAAAAAAAACAAAAAACCTGTTACACTGTAGCTTTTGGTCCGAAAGCATATGCGATTGTGGTTGCCAGTGATTCACTCTCAAGTTCAGACAAAGGGAAAACCCTCGTCCTTTGACGTTTTAAATATTGGACAAATTGTGTTAGTTCCAAATAATGTAGCTGTGAATGATACAAGTTTGAATCCAATAATTGCTGTTTATAATTTGTCCAAATGCTGTTATGTTCCTTAAATATATACTCATCGTATCTCCCTTTGTGAATGTCATTTTACTTTCTAAAGAATCCCAAATGCACACTAAGTTAAAAACAGAAAAATATAAAGCCGGCAACTGATTTTTTATTCACGTCAGGGCAAGTAAGTTGGTTGGTTTTGACTATAAATGGACGAATCACCTACCATAAATTTACTCACCATTTCCACTTCCAGCTTTCTTTCTATTCTGGTCCCTTTCAGTGTATCATGGGGTTTACCAAACTTTTAAGCTATTCCACCCTTCTCCTTTTCATTGTGTATACTTTGGTTAATGGATCCACCCCAAAGGTAATGAGCATCTTCACTTTGACTTGCATGCATGATGCTGTCTACGTGAGTTGCATGCATATAATATACAGCCTCTGAACTACAATACTAAAAGCTCTTAAACTACTTTTATAGAACTAAACTAACTTTTGGATTTGCGTTGATGCAGCACTATATAGTTTACATGGGAGATCATTCACACCCTAATTCAGAATCCGTAATCAGAGCAAACCATGAGATACTAGCTTCAGTTACTGGAAGGCACGTTACTCAATTTGAGATAACATTCATGGAATCAATTATAACTATATCAGTGTTCATCTAATTTTAATTTATTGAAAATGGAATAATTTTTTATAAAATGGACTTCCTGTGTAAATTCTTTCCACTTTTCAGCCTCAGTGAAGCAAAGGCAGTAGCCCTCCACCATTACAGTAAAAGTTTTCAAGGCTTCTCAGCTATGATTACACCAGAACAAGCTAGTCAACTTGCAGGTATTGTATTCCATTGTTATATCCTTCTGTCTTTATCTTTCCACTGTATTAGACAAGGAAACAATTTGAATACAAGATGGAAGACTAATTCAATATTTTGAGAATGGCCTCTCCATTTAAATTGGGTGGCTCCAATTTGGAGTTGTGTATGCTCAAGTTTCAGGGTGAAAAAACATATTCTATATGGAATGCATTAGCCATTTACTTGATCAGACTCTGAATGACGTTTTCAATTGTGTTTCAGAACATAAATCAGTAGTGTCCGTTTTCGAGAGCAAAATGAATAAACTCCACACAACACATTCTTGGGATTTTCTTGGATTGGATAATATCTACAAGAGCACTCCTAAAGCACTGGACACCGCATCCGAAGTCATTGTTGGTGTCATTGATTCTGGTTAATACTTTCTTTGATGCTCTCTTTTTTCTGTCATTTGGATTAAACATGAGTGACTCAACATTGGTTTTCAGGAATCTGGCCGGAATCGGAAAGCTTCACTGATTATGGACTAGGTCCTGTGCCCAAGAAATTTAAGGGAGAATGTGTTACTGGTGATAAGTTTACACTAGCCAATTGCAACAAGTAAGAATTCAAAATACATATTAAACTGGTTATTGAGTTTGATGTACAAATTCTATACTTGTATTGAAGTGAATAAATTAGCATTTGAAGCTGTTAAAGATTAATATAAAACCATTCACATGTTTTCACCTTATCGTGTTAATCTATGGCCACGGTATTAGGATGTCTTTGACAAAGTGGTCTAGATTTCTACTTCTGTCTTTGCCAACCTAATTCTGCTAATATAAAAACTAAATTTCAGAACAAGGTAGATGGACCTGTGCATTATCGACGCTTCAAAGTTCATAGCACTCTCGTACATGAATGAATATGTTCAGATTCATCATACATTTATTCATGTTCCCTCACCTAATAGGCTAAACTTTTTGGATAGATGGTTTATGGTAGAAACTTACTTACGGTATGCTATAGATGTACAGAGATTGTCATTTGCTAACTTTGTCACTCACCTGGAGTTTGGATTTTTCAGAAAAATTATTGGTGCTCGGTTCTATTCAAAAGGGTTTGAAGCAGAAAATGGTCCTCTAGACGGTGTTGTCAACAAGATATTTTTCCGGTCAGCTCGAGATAATGATGGACATGGAACACACACAGCTTCCACAATAGCGGGGTCTACTCTTGCTAATGCCAGCTTATTTGGCATTGCCAAAGGAACAGCTAGAGGTGGTGCCCCAAGTGCCAGACTTTCCATCTATAAGGCCTGTTGGTTTGGGTTGTGTAGCGATGCTGATATTCTTTCAGCAATGGATGATGCTATCCATGATGGCGTTGACATACTGTCTCTGTCCCTTGGTCCTAATCCTCCCCAGCCAATTTACTTCGAAGATGCAGTCAGTTTAGGAGCATTCCATGCATTCCGAAATGGTGTTCTTGTTTCTGCTTCTGCTGGAAACTCAGTTTTTCCACGTACTGCATGCAATGTTGCTCCTTGGATTCTCACTGTTGCTGCTAGCACAATAGACAGGGAATTCAGTTCAAATATCTACCTTGGTAACTCAAAGGTCTTAAAGGTGAAGACAATAACAAACCACTTTTAACCATTAACACCAATATACATCTAATGCATATCAGTCTTAGTTACTAACTCAAGAAAGGTTTGTAAATGCCATCAGGGTTCTTCTTTGAATCCAATAAAAATGGAGCACTCGTATGGTTTGATATATGGAAGTTCTGCTGCAGCTACTGGAATTCCAGCAACAAATGCAAGGTATTCTCTGTATGAAATGGCTAAAGACAAACTGTTGATAAATGATTATAATCCTAAGAAATCTGGAGTGACATTATTCAATTTTTAATCTTATTTCCTTGACTTCTCTATCTAACAGCTTCTGCAAGAACAATACTCTAGATCCTACCTTAATCAACGGTAAAATTGTGATCTGTACAATTGAGAATTTCAGTGATAACAGAGAACAGAAGGCCATCGAAATAAGGCAAGGTGGGGGTGTTGGAATGATACTTATTGATCATAATGCCAAAGACATTGGTTTCCAATTTGTCATCCCAAGCACTCTCATCGGTCAGGATGCTGTAGAAGAGCTTCAAGCATATATAAAGACAGATAAGTGAGTTGTAAAAGTTTGTCAAAAAATGAGAAAAAAATCTCTAATAATCAAAGTTAGTCACACTTCATTGTCAGAAGATTGATCCATGAAACATCGTCCGCTAATGCTTATTATGTCAGGAATCCCACTGCTAGAATCCACCCAACAATAACTGTAGTTGGTACCAAACCAGCACCAGAAATGGCAGCTTTTTCTTCCATGGGGCCAAATATAATAACACCAGACATTATTAAGGTAAGCTTACTTAGACTCAGTGGACTATACGTTTAGACCTACATGCACCTCAGATTCTTCCTGGTTAACCTTTTTGTTGACTCAGAAAGAATATGGAGGACATAGTGTTGAAGGTTGATCCTATACTTATGTATGCTAACTAGTGTGCTCTCATCCAACTATTCAGCCTGATATCACAGCACCTGGAGTGAATATTTTGGCAGCATGGTCTCCAGTAGCAACTGAAGCTACAGTTGAACAACGACCTGTCAACTATAATATTATTTCAGGAACATCAATGTCTTGCCCACACATTACTGCAGTTGCAGCAATTATAAAATCTCACCACCCATCTTGGGGTCCTGCTGCCATAATGTCTTCAATAATGACAACAGGTAAGTTTTTCATGCATCAAAAATTCCCGGAAACAAGATCATGAGAATAGATGTTTGTAATTGCGATAGTCTTAAACTAATGCCTTGTTTCCAATGTTACAGCGACAGTTACGGATAACACACACCACCTCATAAGACGAGATCCAAATGGAACTCAAACCACACCATTTGACTATGGATCTGGACATGTTAACCCGGTTGCATCACTCAATCCTGGATTAATATATGATTTTAATTCCCAAGATGTACTCAATTTTCTGTGCAGCAACGGGGCAAACCCAGCACAACTTAAGAACCTCACTGGGGATCTTACTCAATGTCAGAAGCCTCTTACAGCTTCCTACAACTTCAATTATCCTTCAATTGGTGTGTCCAATTTGAATGGAAGTTTATCAGTTTATCGTACAGTTACTTACTACGGTGAAGAGCCAACAGTATATTCTGCAAGTGTTGAAAATCCATCTGGTGTGAAGGTTACAGTTACTCCAGCAGAATTGAAGTTCGGGAAAACTAGGGAGAAGATAACTTTCAGGATTGATGTCTTCCCTTTCAAGAAAAGCAATGGAAACTTTGTGTTTGGTGCCTTGATATGGAATAATGGCAAACAAAGGGTTAGGAGTCCTATTGGTCTCAATGTACTCTCTACTTAACGTGGAGTGCTTCTTGGTCCGAATCATTATTGGGTTTACACCTAAGAAAATGCATTTATTGATATCACTAAGATTTCTGCAATAAAAGGAAGGTTGAACACGCACCAACGTTGGCTGATTCAATGGCAGCAATATTACTTTCTATTACCAGTGATCATCAGCGCATATGATGAACCATGGTAAAAAAAAAAAAAAAAACTCTTGCATTACACATGTTAATGGCACTACCATTGTGGTTTATGTAAACACATTGTGTTTGTTGAGGTTAAACTTAGTTTTTGTAATGTTAACGTACGTCGTTATACCTCTAAGAACCATCTAGGAGAGCAAAAAGCATATTGCCTTACCATGAAAATAAAAAATTGTTTTTACTTTTCCAAACCGTGTTCTTACCATGAATCTTAAAATTGTTTTTGTGATTTTGTTTAATCCATTTTAGTTGAAAGTTTCTCCTCTTTATTACCCGAAAAGCAAAGCATACAGATTTAAGTTAAACTGAACAAAATCTCATTTTCATTCAAACAATTTTCTTACTGCTACGAAGTAGACAATTTCAATGAATCATTTAGAAGAAAAACATGATTTATCTAAAAAGATATTAGGAAAAATAGATAATTGGACGGATTATCAATCCTTATGTTCAAGAATTTCTAAATGTTGTGAATCTTCTTAGGTGCCTTTGATTGAAACCTTTATCTATGCTGTGGAATCTTCTTACTTTCTTGCATTCTTTGAGAGCACCCTTTTTTAATTCTTGAAACCTGAAAGTCGACATCAGTAAATTCAATTAATAGTTAGCAGATTTTACTTCTTACCAGCACCAAGTATTGTAGAAAGGAACCATAGCTTTTCCTTTAAAAGAAAAAAAAAATCTGAAATGAAACTTTTTGCTCTGTAAACATATATAATTGGTGGTCGCCAACAACACACTTTCGAGTTTCAGACTGGTAAATTAAGACCCGTGTACACCATTGAAATTTTAAATATTGGCATATTTGTATTAGTCCAAAATAATGTTGTTGTGCATGATACATATATGAATCAATGTCGCTTATAGCTCTTCCTAATACTATTAGATAGGTAAAAATATGCATGATTTTAATTAATCATTTGGTCTTTATCTATGTCACCTTTTATTTTAGTTTCTATATTTAAAAACTCTTATGTTTTAACCTCTGTGAGTATTGTTACATCATTTAGTTGCTATTGTTAGTATTTCTAACAGTTCAAACCGTTTTTGAGTATAGGGCCAAAACAAATGTTGGTGCTAATATAATGACCAAGTGATTAATTAAAACAATATATCTTCATCTTATCTTCTTTTACAAATGTCATTTTGCTTTGTTTAGAATCTCAAATATACACTAAGTTATAAACAGAAACATATATAAAGCCGGCAACTGATGTTTTTTATATTACATAACATAAAAGTTTGTTCATTTTTGGCTATAAAATTGCTGAATCATCTAACATAAAAAGAGTCGCCATTTCGACATCTAGGTTTCCATTCTTGACCCTTTGAAATATCATGGGGTTTGACAAAATTTTAAGTTCTTTCACCCTTCTGTTCATTGGGTATACTTTGGTGAATGGATCCAGTCCAAAGGTACGGAACACATTAACTTGAACTTGATGCATGGTGCCTATGGAAGCTACATGCATCCACAGCCTATGATATTACTAATAGCTGCTAACTACTTACATTTTGCATTGTTGTAGCATTATATAGTTTACCTGGGAGATCATTCACATCCCAATTCAGAATCTGTAATCAGAGAAAACCATGAGATACTAGCTTCAGTTACTGGAAGGCATGCCACTCAATTTTAGATAAAATTCATGGAATTAATTATAATTATCAGTGCTCTTTTTTGGTTTATTCAAAATGGAACAATTCAGGCTAAAATGGGCTTCCTGTGTAAATTCTTTACACTTTTCAGCCTCAGTGAAGCAAAGGCAGCAGCACTCCACCATTACAGTAAAAGCTTTCAAGGCTTCTCGGCCATGATCACTCCAGAGCAAGCTAAACAACTTGCAGGTGTTGAATTTCACCATTATATCTTTCTGTGTTTATCTTTCAACTATATCAACTGGACAAGCAAACATTTTAAAGAAGAGATGGAAGTCCAAATTCATCATTTTTTGGTTTATATATGTGGGTTCCCCAGTTAAAATAGTGTTTGATTGCCTTCTCACTTTTGGTTTTAAAAAACTGTTTACTAAAACAATTTCTCATGCAAAATCTATTACATTTTTGAAATTTGTTTCCAAAACAAGAGTTTAAAAGTAAAAAAAAAAATGGAAAGGGTTATGAGATATTTTCTCATCTTCTTCTGTTCTTTAACCTCTCCCTTATTTCAACATTCTGTTTTGTGCCTTTCATCACTCCAGTAGAACAACTTTATTTAGTTGTATTTTGAAAACTAAAACAACTTTTTTGAAGCAAAAATAATTGCACCTTTCCTGCCAAGCCTTGAATTACGTTTTTAATTGTGTTTCAGAATATAAGTCAGTGGTGTCCGTTTTTGAGAGCAAAATGAATAAACTTTACACAACACATTCTTGGGATTTTCTTGGATTGGAGACTGCCTACAAGAGAAATAATACAACACTGGACATAGCATCCGAGGTCATTGTTGGTGTCATTGACTCTGGTAAATATTCTTTTGGTACTTCCTCTTTTTTCTTTCATTTAGATTACAAGAGTGACTTAACATTTGTTTTCAGGAATCTGGCCAGAATCAGAAAGCTTCAATGATTATGGATTAGGTCCTGTGCCTGAAAAGTTTAAAGGAGAGTGTGTTACTGGCGATAACTTTACACTAGCCAATTGCAGCAAGTAAGAACTTATTTTGGAATTTAAAATTTGATACAGTAGTACTAGCAGGTATTGCATCTGGGATTCACATCCAAGTTGAAGCTGCTTTCAGTAGTTTCTATTTTTCAAATCCAAAACTTCGAATGTCGAATCAAACACGAACTTATTACAGGTTTAACTTAAAATCTATTTATGTTCCCTCACCTAAAAGCTTAAACTATTGAGATAGTTGCTACATAAATGTACATATTGTCATTTACTAACTATGTCATTCCACCTGGAGTATGGATTTTCAGGAAAATTATTGGAGCTCGGTACTATTCAAAGGGGTTTGAAGCAGAAAATGGTCCTCTAGAGGGCATTGCCAACAGGATATTTTTCCGGTCAGCCCGAGATAGTGGTGGACATGGAACACACACGGCTTCCACAATAGCAGGGTCTATTGTTGCTAATGCCAGCTTACTTGGCATTGCCAAAGGAACTGCTAGAGGAGGTGTGCCAAGTGCCAGACTTTCCATCTACAAGGTCTGTTGGTTGGGGTTCTGCAGTGATGCTGATATTCTTTCTGCCATGGATGATGCCATCCATGATGGGGTTGACATACTATCTCTTTCCCTTGGCCCTGATCTTCCTCAGCCAATTTACTTTGAGGATGCAATCAGTATAGGAGCATTCCATGCATTTCAAAAGGGAGTTTTTGTTTCTGCTGGAGCTGGAAACTCGTTTTTTCCAGGTACTGCATGCAATGTTGCTCCTTGGATCCTCACTGTTGCTGCCAGCACAATAGACAGGGAATTCAGTTCAAATATCTACCTTGGTAACTCAAAGATCTTAAAGGTGAAGTCAATAACACAAACCATTTATAAATTTAACACCAATATACTATACATCTAATGCATATCAGCATCTGTTATTAAGTCAAGAAAGGTTTATGTGCCTTCAGGGTTCTTCTTTGAATCCAACAACAATGAAGCAATCCTACGGTTTGATATATGGAAGTGCCGCTGCAGCTGCTGGAGTTTCAGCAGCAAATGCAAGGTATCTTCTGCATTATATGTCTAAGAACAAATTGCATCGTTGATAAATGTTTCAGATTCTATAGAACTTGTTTCTTCATGGGGTTTACTCTATCCTCTGTAGGCAATATTTATTGTGAATTAAAAAAAAAATATCTTTTTGATGATAGCCAAAACTAGTCTCATTTAAGCCTTTATCCAAAAAAACGATATTAGAGTAAAATGTCTTTTCTTGACCCCAATAATAGGGAAATGATTTTAATCCCAAGACACCTGGAGTGACATGATTCAATTTTTGTAATCCTATTCTTTGGTTTATTTGTTATCAGCTTCTGCAAGAACAATACTCTAGATCCTACCTTAATCAAGGGTAAAATCGTGATTTGCACAATTGAAGATTTCCTCAGTGATGACAGACGAGAGAAGGCTTCAACAATTAGGCAAGGTGGGGGTGTTGGAATGATACTTAATGATCATAATGCCAAAGATTTTGGTTTTCAATTTGTCATCCCAACCACTCTCATTGATCAGGATGCCTTGGAAGAGCTTCAAGGGTATATAATGACTGAGAAGTGAGTCCTAAACGTTTGTTAAAAAAGAGAGAAAATCTTTAATAACAAGTTAGTCACACTCATTGTCAAAAGATTGATCGATGAAACATTGTCTTCTAATGCTTTATTATGTCAGGCATCCCACTGCTAGAATCTACCCAACACTAACTGTAGTTGGTACCAAACCAGCACCAGAAGTGGCAACTTTTTCTTCCATGGGACCAAATATAATAACACCAGACATTATTAAGGCAAGTTTACAAATAGATTATGTTTAGAGCTGCGTTCACCACTGATTATTCCTAGTCTAACTATACATTGACACATAGGAACATAGAGGTTATGGTGTTGAAGGTTGATACTTGGTCGTATAATTATATATCCTAAATAGGGTGCTCTCATCCAATTATGCAGCCTGACATCACAGCACCTGGAGTGAATATTTTGGCAGCATGGTCTCCGGTTGCAACTTTAGCAACAGTTGAAGAACGATCCGTCAACTATAACATCATTTCAGGAACATCAATGTCTTGCCCCCACATAACTGCAGTTGCAGCAATTGTAAAATCTCACCACCCACACTGGGGTCCTGCAGCCATAAAGTCTGCAATAATGACAACAGGTAAGATATTCTTCATTCATGATAAAAAATTCCTTGGCAAGAACAAAAGCAAATGATTGTAATTGTGATCATTCTAATCAACGCCTTTGTTCTGATGTTACAGCCACAGTTATGGATAACACACATCACCTCATAGGAAGAGATCCAAATGGAACTCAAACCACACCATTTGACTATGGATCCGGACATGTCAACCCGGTTGCATCACTAAATCCAGGATTAGTATATGAATTTAATTCCCAAGATGTTCTCAATTTTCTGTGCAGCAATGGGGCAAGCCCAGCACAACTTAAGAACCTCACTGGGGATCTTACTCAATGTCAGAAACCTCTTACAGCTTCCTACAACTTCAATTATCCTTCAATTGGTGTGTCCAACATGAATGGAAGTTTATCAGTTTATCGTACGGTTACTTATTATGGTGAGGAGCCAACAGTATATTATGCAAGTGTTGAAAATCCATCTGGTGTGACTGTTAGAGTTACTCCAGCAGAATTGAAGTTCTGGAAAACTGGGGAGAAAATAAGTTTCAGAATTGATTTCTTCCCTTTCAAGATAAGCAATGGAAACTTTGTGTTCGGTGCTTTGATATGGAACAATGGCATACAAAGGGTCAGGAGTCCTATTGGTCTCAACATTCTATCTACTTAGGCTGTTTCTTTAAATAGTTTCATCTTACACCCTCCTATAACTAATGTAAAATGATCGAAATACCCTTTAATTTTGTTTGAAACTTTAAAAACTTCTTCTCTTTGCTTCTCAATACCTACATAGTTCCTGCACTTTGGCTTGTTGTGGTTCCACCTCCAGATTGATTTTAGCCCCATAAAATGTATTTTCTGAACCTAAAAGTGACTTTCACCACACTTAATCAAGAATGTATTTTTGGAAGAGTTAAGCTGAAAATACTTGATTGATTGTTACAAAATTTATATCAGGATTGAGTATTTAAGAATTGCATTCCGAATTAATTGATTTAGAAATTTATTACAGACTTGATGTTTCAAAATATATTTTCAGATTTGTTGTTCTAAAAATATATTTGAAACACTAAATACAAAATATATTTTCAAAACCGTCAATCTTAAAAATATCCCATTCAAAATGTATTTTCGAAATAATTATTTTAAAAATAAATTAAAAAATTATAAAAATATTTTAATGAAAGATAAAATATGAATTATTTTAATTACGAGACGCAGAAACACAGCTTCAAAGGTGTATTTACGTCAAAAGAAAATGCATTTAACTGTTCAGTACATGTCTTTTACTTTCTGAAATAAAAGAAAGGTTCAAAAATATATAAACTTAATTCATAATTAATAATAATTTCATCTATTTATCTAAATAAAATAAAAATGAAATTAACAATAAGAAACTTTTGAAAATCCATTAATATCTATAATTAAAAAAATTTATAAAATTATTAAAACTTAAAATAATAAGAATTTTAATAATACTGTAATAAATTATAATAAACTTTAATAACGGACTCCTAATTCTATATCATAATATTTTAATACAATTTCGTCTTCGATCTCAATTTCTATTGTTGGGTATTTGGTAATACTTTCAATGTCACATGTCCCTCAAGACCAAAGTTTTTTTTTTTTACCAATTATAGGAACAAAAAATATTTTTAAGATTAAAAATTGTTCATATCTTTTATTCATATTGGCAATACTTAAAAATTATAGATTCAATTTTTAAGAATTAATTGTTTGACAGAAAAAGCAATAGATAAATAAATTAAAAAAAAATCGACATGATGAGTCAGTGCACAATATGAATTAAATCTTAGCCCATCTCTTGCTTTTCAAAATAAAACCAATTAAATTTATTTTTGAAATTTAAATTGTTTCAATTCATTTTTCAACAAACAATAATTAGGCATACGCTAAATACAGTTCAATTATTAATTGTGCATACGAAAACAAAGCTTTGAAAATTAAGTGTTTTTAGACCTTCAATATCAAAAGTTATTCAATATTCTGGGATAAAAATATGGAAGGGAGATGAATTGAAACTCTTCCCAAATCTGTTTATTTCCATTTATCATATTTGAGCTTAAAATTTTATTATATTAAAAACTAAGTTTAAATTTCTATTTATTTTTTCTTGTTGTTTTATATATATATATATATATATATATATATATATATATATATATATATATATATATGTTATAATTCATGATTCTGGTGGATGTTTCAAGTTTCCTTTTTTGAGGTTAGTCAAAATTGTTCTTTTGTTTTGACAGAAAGTTAATAATTGGAACAACAAATAATGTTTGTATAAATTGATCCACTTGAGTCAAACATTTGGATGATGAAAAGAAGAAAAAAAAAGAACAAAACGTGGATGTTGCTGTTCGGTTGGGATGATTCAATGGAACTGTCAACTGTGACCCAATTTGTGTGCCAATTTATGCTAGAAGAGATCTAGGATGTTTATTTTATTTAAATTTAAAAAATAAGTAGAAAAAATTACTTAATAATTTAAATTTTAAAATTATATAAAACATGAACAATTATTAACAAAATAATTGTTGAAACAATAATTAAAATAATTTTTTAATTCTTAAAAAATAAATTAAAAATATTTATAATTTATTATTGACTGTGTGAAAATATTTATTGAGACTAATATTGTTCAAAAGATGTGTCTACATGGTATTATCAAAGGGAGTAAAGATTCATCCTTTGGAAAACAGAAAAAAAGTGATGAGACTGAATGATTTGAGGTTGTAAGAGGATGTTGGTGAGATGAATAATGTTAGGATTAAGGTCGGAGGGAAGGGTCATGAGGACCCATTTATGAAGTCGGTGGGGCTGCACACACACGTAATCAGTCAAATAAATTTTCTCTTTCTCTTCTAAATCACATCAAATGCAATGAATGGGAGCCATATTTCCAGAAAACCTGTTCAGAGACTGAGTCCAAATTGAAAATATTCAAACTTTATTTCAGGTAATTAATAAGGGTTGACTGTCATGGCAAGCCAATTAATTCATTACAGCCTTTGGTTTGTAAAGTACCACATTGAAGATGAACTCAGATAGATGATTGGAGTGTGTTTATTTGATCTCATTTTTATTTTAATATGTTAATATTTTGATGTTTAAAATTAATCTTTTTTTAATCAAACAAAGAAGATGGGGTGACCCAAAACAATGCCATACTTTTTATTGACTTTTCTTGAACAATGAAACGATGAGAAACGTACTTTTCATCCCTAGCCATAAGAAATCACAAAAGGGGTTCTTTGTCAAAGTTTATTTATGGAAATGAAAGTTACATTATTTGGGAAGAAGAAATTGACTTAAGAAGGTTATTGTTGTTGTGGGCCCTCAAGTTGTTAATCATCATATTATAATTAGCATTTGTTCATTATGTTACCTTTCAATCTTTCTTATATTAAAGATAATTAATCTTTAATGTGCTTGTTAATACAGTAATTAATCATGACTTGAAGATTTTTGGTATTAATATATTATTGTGAAAATCCAACTTGGTAAAGCCTGAGTTCACCTACTCATTAAAAGACCACATGGGTGAGACATTTTTTTAGGTGGTTGGTTATGCAGATCATAGTTTACTTATTTAGCCATTTCCAATTCTTGTTCATGTGAGCAAAATCTTGCATACACATGCAAGAGCCAAGCACATTAACTAACGTGTTGAAACTCACTTCATTGAAAGGGGAAAAGAATGCATACCAAATTGTGATGGATGAATAGAAGACCAATAGTAGTCCTTGTTTGTTTGTTATGTACTGTTGGTCACTATCTGTTTGGCTACCAAAACCTACAGGGACTACTCACCTACATGCCCTAAACTAGTCACCAAAATTAAATATTTTACTCACACTTAATAATCCTCCCTCACATCGCGTGTTCAACATGCTTCCACATTTTTCATCTTCTTAAACATCACTTCCCGATCCAAATATCACTTTTTGACATAAAAATACACTATATTGATCTTAACGATGTTACGAAATCAAATACGATATTTATTCTACGTACCAAGAACCACGAGATATTAATTTCTTTTGTTGCCACATTTGTTAACCAATTAATTGTATCTGTTTGGTAGCAGCGTGTCTGTGTTCTGTGTTCTCATGCAGCTGGGTAGTTGGTACCACTTACTCCACCATTCTTCCAAACTCACACGTTCTGTGAACCAAATTATAGGTTTTGGATATGTTAGAGCAATTATCAATTTTTTAAAATAACATAATAAATTAATCTCATTTTTAACAAATAAAGCATTTTATTAAGCCACACAAATAATTAATTAAATGAAAATTTATATTTTATTGAACAATTAAAATTTTGGTTAATTTTTTTTAAAATAAATTAAAATTTGTAATTGTTCTGGGGGAAATAACAAAAATTGTTTCTTACATAAAACCTTTTTTTCATCCTTCGTGCAAATATGTTTACAAATTGTATATAAAATTTGGCATAAACAAACTTCTCATAATTCTTTTAATAAATTTTGTAGAATATCTTAAAATTTTACAGAAAAAATTCCACGATAAATTTGATTTATCTTTGCACCTATTTAATAAAACTTGTGTATAAAACAGGGTTCCTAAAAATACTTTTATGACGAATGAATTTAGACAAATGTTGTTTTTATTTAACATTTAACCTAATAAATTTAGACTACATTAGTAAATAGATTTATGAGTCAATTTATTTTATACATAATTTTTTTAAATAAAAATAATATATTATTATTATTATATTTAGAAAGAATGGATTCCTTATTTAAAAAATAGAAATTAAAGACTTAAATATAATTTAAGTCCTATACTTCTAGTCCCTAAACCTATACTTTTAGGCCCTCAAAATATAATTTTATTATTATTATTATTATTATTATTATTATTATTATTATTATTATTATTATTATTATTATTATTATTATTATTATTATTATTATTATTATTATTATTATTATTACATAGTCACGGTACAAACGAAAACTAATGAGATGGAATACTACAAAATTAAAATTATTACTAAAGATAAAAATACTATATCTATAATAATATATATATATATATATATATATATATATATATATATATATATATATATATATATATATATATATAAAGCATATACTTAATTGTTGTTATTTTTGGAATATTAATCAATCCCAATTCTCAATATGAAATTCATATAACTACTTTTTATTTTGTTATCAATTTCAAGGGTTCAGATTTATTTTTAAGCATGTTTAAATATTTACATTTCTTATACAACACAGTTAATTTCTTAGCCTTTTAATTTTCTTTTAAAAAAATTATATAATTAAAAAATTAAATATGAATTCAAATTTATTATATTATCTTATTTATATCTATTGGTAAAAGTATTTTAATATTAATGTCTTTGTAAATATTTAACAATTATATATATTCTTATAAGGCAACTTGGCCTTAAATGTATTGAGATAGACAATATTAAGGACAATATCATGTTATTTTTTTGTCAGTTCTTCCAAAGCAACCTAGTCTTAACAATGTTGAGATAGATAATATTAAGCTAATGTTTTCAAAATTGATCATATTTGTCGAATTAATTGATTTAATCAATAATTAATTTAAAAATTGTGAATTTTAAATAATAATTATTGTATTATATTTTTATTTTATTTTAGTCATTATTATTTTATTTTTTAATATATTTTATATTTATAATATTTATTATAATTTTTTATGATCATGATAATAATTTATATTTTATTTTGATAAAAAAATATTTTTATAAATTTATCATATTATAAAAATATTATTTTATTAAATCTGATTGATTGTAATTTTAAAATTATTATATTAAATAAAATATATTTTTAACATATTAAGAAATAAATTCCTTTTATAGTAAAATCCTCCTGTGATAAAATTCAATTAAAAATACTATTCTAATACGTAAATTAATATACTTCTTTTTTAATTTATATAATATTGTAATGTTAATTATGTTTTACTCTTTGTAAAAAGGAATGAGTCATCTTAAGAGGAAGAAAAAAAATCAAAAAGAAAAAAAAAGTGCTTAAATACCTTTCTTTCAACACCCATTCAAAGAAAAGATTTGATAAAATTGACTAATGTAAAGTAATTTATAGAATTTAAACTAAAATCTTGGTTGGACTTATTGATGGTATTTATATGTATTTTTAAATAATTATATTTTTTATTTTTTAATTAATTTTTTAAAAATATCTTAAAATTACGAGCAAAAATAAGGTTAACACTAGTTGCAATTTGTACGTCAAAGTTGTGTAATGTTGAGGACAGTTGTTAGGTGGTGGCTTCATGAATTCAGACTGCACCATCACACACTTCAAAAATTAATTGTTATTAAATAATTAATTTTGTTTTATAAAAAACTATTAAGTGTTGCATATATTAATTTTGATTATAAAAAATTGTTTTTATAAATATATATTATACTATATTTTCGTTGAATTTTACAGAGACTTTATAATGCTTAAATCTCTAAAATTAAATATAAAATTAACTAATTTTTAAGATAAATATCTATTATAATTATTAGAGAAGAAATATATTTTACCCAAATATAAAAAATTATTACCCTTTGTTTCTAAACTTGTCAATTCCCTTTACTTTTATATATAAAACAAATATTAAATCATATTTTTCACATTTAAATTTCATATATTTCATCTAATAAATAATGATAATATTTTTATTTCAAATAAAGATAATAATGAAAGTTTTAACATTATGTCATCTATCCAAATTATTACAACCTAAAAGGACACTAACACATGATATTTTAGAGGAAAGTTTTAGATCATGCAAAGTCAGAAAAACTTCTAAGTGACTTGTCAACGCTCCAAAATTTTCAAACATTCATCTACACCTCTCGTTATATAATAAAATAATAATAAATATAAAATGTTAATATTTTATTATTATTATTATATTAATAAAAAAATTGTTGGTGGGTTATTTTTCACATAAAGGTTGTCCATCTATCGTTTCCAAATAAGAGAATGCGAAATTGTAGCCTTTGTTTACTGCATTATGCAGAAGTCCAGAGATAATAAACTATGACCAAGAACAGCTTGCGTACACTCCAACTCATAAATGCTACGTGCCGAATTCTGTGCTTATATTAAGGGGCCAAATGGCCACAACATTTCGCCCACCCCCTACTGTCTGCAACTGCATTATCCATCTGAAACTCCACTGTTTCAGCTTCTCTCTCACTGATATTTATAATATAATGTCATATACTTTTTCTTCAATGGAGTTGGGAAGCATACTCCATTTCCTTCAGGACAAGACCATTTTGATCACTGGAGCCACTGGCTTTCTTGCCAAAGGTTTGTTTTAAATTTTCCAACCTTCTTTTTCATCTTTTTACTCAAAGGGTACATGCAAAACAATGCTATCTTACATGCACTTTGCATTATATATATACTTGTGTGTGTTGCAGTTTTGTTGGAGAAGATATTGAGGGTCCAACCAAATGTTAAGAAGATCTACCTTCTTTTAAGAGCTGCAGATGCCAAATCTGCTACTCATCGCTTGCACAATGAGGTGAATATGCACAAGATCAGTTTCTGCTCTGTGCAGAAATCTTCTTTTTGCCCTTTTTCTTATATGATTGTTATAAGCCAAACTAATCAAGGCTTCAAGTAGATACATTAATGTACATTGAAGAAGTGCATTACTTAAAACATACTTTTCAAAAGGGTAAAATAATTATCCAAAGATGACAGTGGTCTCAGGCACTAGCAACCTTCCTCACCGTGTCATAATATAATTAAGCTCGTGGCTTAGGTCCTATATTTGTTGTTTTGCTGTGTAGATCATAGCGAAGGATTTGTTTAGGGTACTGAAGGAAAAAGTTGGTGCAAATTTTAATTCTTTTATCTCGAAAAAGTTGACCCTGGTACCTGGTGACATATCTCGAGAAGACTTAGGATTGGAGGATACCATTCTAAAGGAAGAGATTTATGATCAAACAGATGTCATCATTAACTTAGCTGCTACAACTAACTTTGATGAAAGGTATATAAGCTAAAAGATGATTGTCTTATGCCTATTTAATGTTTTTATTGCCTCACCTTAACTATTTTCTTCTTCAATTTCATATAAAATTGGAGGTATGATATATCTTTGGGTCTAAATACCTTTGGTGTCAAGTATGTCATCAACTTCGCCAAAAAATGTACAAAACTCCAGGTTCTTGTGCATGTTTCAACAGGTTCGTATCCATCAGAAGTATTGGTTAGCATGCAGTTCAGTATATATAGTAGTCCCTGTTGAAACTTGATTAATTTCAGCCTACGTATGTGGTGAGGGAGGGGAAGAAGGACTGATATTAGAGAAACCATATCATCTTGGTGATTCTCTGAATGGAGTCCCTGGATTAGACATCAATGCAGAAGAAAAAGTGGTTCATAACAAATTGACTGAACTACAACAACTGGGGGCCACAGAAAAGGAAACTAAAGAGGTTATGAAGGACTTGGGTATTAGCAGGTTTGTCCAAAACATTCTAATATTTATGATTATTCCAATTTTTAGTTCCTTGAATGATTTTTAATACTTCCAATGATCCAAGGTTTTCACAATTTTTCTTTTTTTCTAAATTAGTAAATATGTGTAACAATAGTAACAACGATAGATAACCTGCACTTAATTATGTCAGTGTATTCCTTCAACCCTAACAACCTTATCCTAATAAGATCATGTGATTGATGTTCGAGTTTATTATATATTTGGCCTACCATGGAATCTCTTTAGGATTTCCTCTTATGTGACAAGGAAATAAGAGTGAATGTAAATTATCTTTTCATGATTAATATGCAGAACCAGATATTATAGGGTATAAAGAATTGACTCAATTTTCATAAAAGGAAGTGTGCAATGATTTGTTTAGACATGGTAGGAAGTTTTCGTGTACCAAATGAAGGAAGATACACAATGTGAAGACATTGCATGCACACACATGCATGATAAATGGTTTCACATGAGAAAACCAGAATTATAATAATGTTCTCTAAGAATCAATGGAGTGTTTGTTTTCTTTTTTTTATGTCTCGCTTGTGAAGTACCAAAATTAGTAATTACGAAATGATAGAAACATTGTACACTATTTTATGTGTTTAAGGTTTTTTTAATACTCTATTAATGGCTAACTAGGTTTTTTTAATATTAATAATTGATATTAAATTGTTGAGTTTTTTTATTATAATATTGGTGTAGTAGAGCAGTGTGAAAGTATGTGTAATGAATTAAAGTGGGGTTGGTCCATTAAAACTTAGAATTGACTACTTACCAAACACGATTAATAATCACCTTTTCCCTGTTGAAGAAGAAAGATAGGATTAAATAATGGTTAGATATAATTTTCACGCAGGAGATGAAGATGGAGAGGGACCTTCAAATAAATAAAGGTGAAAGGGAAACATAAATTGACTCATGAAACCCACCACCTCTTTCATTTATGGTTCTTTCATTAATAACCTTTCAGACCAACATGTGCACAAGGGTCATCTCCAAAAAATATATATTTTACTTAAAAATATATTTTTGTTTCTTTAATTTTTTTTTACAGTATTTAAAATTTAAAATTATTTTTTAATTCTTAAATTTCATCAGAAACTGTTTCTTTTGTCATTTAATGTTGACAATCTTATACTTCATGTTGATGTGACAAATGATATTTATGTCATGTCACTAAAAATTCTTATACTTTATAGAAATATTTTATAAATATTTTAAAAATTAAAATAAAATTATTATTTTTTATAAACTTTAATTTTTTAGAAGAAAAATTACAATAAAAAATTAATTTTTTAGTAGTGTGTAATTAAAATAATGACAAAAAATATTTTTTAAAATTTCTGGTTAAAATATCTTTGAATTTATTGAATCATTTTTATAAATTTAAGAATTATTTTTTAAGTTTTACTTTTAAAATTGATTTTCAAATTTTTTAAATATTAAAAAATAATTCCATAAATTAATAAAAATTATGTCTCACATTTTCTAGTCACAATCAATAATATACTTTAATGTCAAAATTTAAATTTAAATAAAAAATATAATATGCATAAAATAAGAAAAGTAGAAAGATTAAGTTAGTGTATTGTTGTAATTATGATAATATATCAGAGTAAAAAAAGAAAAAAAAAACTAATTTAACTGTGGTTAAAATTGTGTTTTTAAAGTTGTAGCAGCAGTACATAGTATTTTTGAAGAAGCGACGTATTATTATTATTTAACTTTTTCTTTTAAAGTTAATTACGTGCGTGGAACATGTTTTTTAAGAATCGACATATTATTATTATTCTTTTATTTTTTTATTTTTTTAATCATTTACGTGCGTGAACATACTTTTTAATATGTGACATGTTATTATTTGGTTATTGAGATTTTTTTTTTTCAATAATTCATTCAACAATTTTTTTTAGATTTTTATATTATTATTTATCTATTTATGTTTATTCCCTCTCTTTCACTAAAATCTTTTTCTTCTTCTTTTACTTTTTCTTTTTAATACAAACACACTTAGTTTTGCAAATTCTTTATATAACTCATGGCACGCGAGTGTCATGAAGCATATATAGTTTCTGCATAAATGTTAAAATGATAATTCTTTTTTCTCTAGATCTATGACAAATCTATGATACATGTTACATGAGAATGTTGCACATATGGTACCATCTACTATCACGCAACAACACTATATAATATTCCTTTGCTTGAGTTTAGTAAACAATAAACAAAGATTCCTCTGAAGCATAGTGGAGCCTACAATGTTGGATTAGGTTAATATCTTTTCAATGCTGTTTTTCCCCAGTGTACGATTCCTGTGTATCATTTTTGCAGCAGTCATGTTGCATGAGATATATGAGACTGAGTTCTGATGAAGAAAGGTACTCCACAATGAAGTGGAACATCAGTACTACATCATATTTTTCAAAGAAAACGTACACACAACATATTAGTGGTGTATTTTGATAGTTGGGTTGATTTATGTCTAGTGGCCCAAGTACAGAAGAATATATATATATATATATATATAGTTTTCTCTACAACTTACCTTCACCATAATTTCTAATCCATAATATAGACAGTGATTTCCAGTTCATTGTGAATTATAATTACTAGGTGTTCTGAAAACCAAATTGTTGTGTATAACTTATCAGGGCAAAGTTGTATGGATGGCCAAACACATATGTATTCACCAAGGCAATGGGAGAGATGCTTGTGGAGCAACTGAAAGGAAACTTATCCGTTGTGATCATTCGTCCTACTATTGTTACCAGCACATTCAGAGAGCCTTTCCCTGGTTGGGCTGAAGGTGTAAGGTAAATCTTGGTTTTCATTTCTCTTTCAACATATACAGAATATTGAATATCTACATAGTCAAATTTATGAGTATGTCTTGAGAAGAAATTGAAACAGTGAACCTTTGGTCCAATGAGAAATGATGAGATGTGAGTTCCTAATGGCAAATTTCTTGTATTTTTCATTTGGGGGGGTGCTTGGAACAGAACTATTGACAGTTTAGCATTAGCTTATGGGAAGGGGAAGTTGACATGCTTCCTTGGAGATCTCAAAGCAATTGTTGATGCGGTGAGGTTCTGCATGAAGCCCTTTATTAATGAGTTATTGTGATTAATATATTATTTCTTCATATTCTGATCTGATATGAAGAACATTACTAATTTAATAAGCAGATACCAGCTGACATGGTGGTGAATGCAATACTTGTGGCTATGGTGGCTCATGCAAATCATCCTAGTGATGATGTTATATACCATGTTGGTTCCTCTGTTAGAAGACCAATAAGATACAGCAATCTTCAAGAGTATGGCTTAAGATATTTCACAGCAAAACCATGGATAAACAAAGATGGAAGGCCAGTTAAGGTTGGCAAAGTTACAGTACTGAGCAACATGGAGAGCTTCAGAAGATATATGTTCATTCGCTACCTGCTTGTGCTGAAGGTAAAGGTTCTGGCACCATCACTCAAATTTCATTGCAAGTTTTTACAGTGATAGGAACTCACCTTGTGTTCATTTATAGGGACTTGAGCTGGCCAATACTGCATTTTGCCAGTATTTCCGAGGCACATATCTTGATCTCAGTAGGAAGATCCAGATTGTGATGCGGTTGGTGGACCTTTACAAGCCCTACTTGTTCTTCAGAGCTGCGTAAGTGTTGATTATTAATCAATCACCAATGTTGCATAGATGTGATGCATATGATATGAATTCCAAGGCACACATAAAAAATCACAAAACACCAATATATATACAATTATAATCCAGTAAATATCAAAAGAACATACTTTCACAATACTAAAAGTAATAATCTCTCATGCTTTCTAATCATTTATTTGTGGAACGTGCTTGATCTTGTCTGAAGTATGAAATGTTGTGTAAGGTATGAACTTAGGGAAAATGACTGTTGTTGCACACAGATTTGATGATATGAACACAGAGAAGTTGCGAATGGCAGCAAGACAAGGAGGGGTGGAGACAGATTTGTTTTACTTTGATCCCGAACTGATTGATTGGGGTGATTACTTTTTGAACATCCACCTTCCTGGTGTGGTGAAGTACATTTTCAAGTGAGATTATAATTGAAGTGATATATATATATATATATATATATATATATATATATATATAATATATATATATAGCTTCAATATTGTTTTAGTGAATCTAGTAAGTTTATTATGTCCATTTGTACTAGAAGAGCAGCATAATTAATGGTGTTAGAGCTGCTAAATGCTTCAGAAGTGTGATCAAAGTGTATACAATATCATATCATATATATTTAAGTTACTAGTCTCTTACAACAACTACAGAATAACAGTCCAAATGCTTTTAGCATGGTTTTTTGTTGGATAAATCTGTTTTCCAATTTTCGCAGTGTTCTTTCTTCCTGTGAATTTTAAGGGAAGGCTAAATATTCCTTTTCTTTGTTTAATCTTCACTAAAAATAATGCTAATTAGTGATTAACATGTCACATTAGCAATTTATAGAAATATATGAAGAGCTAGTAGTTAGACTGAAATTACTTTGGGTTGCACAGTGCTATTGCATTATAATAAACTAAATGTGTAACTTTCAACTGAAACATAAGAGGGTTGGAAGTGTATAATTTTTCATATAATTTAAAGTTAAAATATATATTATAAGTTTTGGATCAATGAGAAATTTTTTTATTTTTTTATATTCATCAAATAAAATACTATTCAAAATTATTAATCATGTGAAATACATAAGAATAATATTATTTTTTACAATAAATATGAAGATGAAAGAAAAAATAAACTAAAATATAGCTCATAATGGTGGGCCTGGGAGAATAAATAAGCCACCATAAAATATAATTCTTGCTGCATTTTCTTAGTTTCGTTTTTTTTTTTAATGTTTAAGATTAAAACAATCTGAAATATAAAAAAATGTAAAAAAATTTACCGTTTTAAATTTTTCTAGATTTATTAATTCGAAATCTTATAAATATTGTTTTTATATATTGTGATTATTTAATCCTAAAGTTTAAAAGAATATATATTTTAAATTTATGAAAATCCAAAATTTTCAAAATATCAAAATATATAAAAATTATATTATATTTTAAAATAAATAAAAATAATATTATTTTTAGAATAAGGACGGTGAAACTATGAAAATGCAATAAGAAAGAGCCAAAAATACAGACCTTCAATATAAAAGTTGAAGGGTGCAATTAGCAATAGGTCCAGTCCAACTAATCGAACCCCATGGAATGTGAATGTTATATGTTTGTGAACAAATTTCAGAATGAACTTTTGATAATGTATTTATATTAAAAGTAATATTGTGATTTTAGATAGATATGATAATAAAAAAGAAAATATAGGGTGCAGAAAGAAAATATGAAGTGAGAAAGAAAAAAAACAAAAACAAAAAACATGTGCTCTAAACCTGCAACACAAAAATTCGCCCATCTGATTAAATTCCTACAATTTATCTATTATAAAAGTTTAGAAAAATAATAAAATTAAATCTCTTAATTTAATCTTGTAGATGGTTAATTAATCATTCATGTATTATTTCTCGAAACCGAAAGTATTCTTTTACAATACACAATAGATCAAAATTAATCAAATAATATTCTTTCTTAAATTTATATTTTAAAAAGTTTTTAAAATATATTTTAAATTTCTTGACAAAGGTTTAATTTGATTTTCAATTAAATATTATTTTAAAATTTATTTATATACATTTTTTATAGACACTTTTTAAAGAATTCCCGACCCGTTTCTATGTATGATTGATTTGAGAAAAGTCACACGTAAGACTGAGATTTGATATACCATGAAGAAACATTGAACATCTTGGAATTAAAAGGAGGAAAAACACATTTAAATTACTTGTGTTTTTACTATTTAACTTGTAATTAATATGTTACTTTTCGTTGTTTTATAAAATCAATTTGTAATAAATGGAATAATATAATATATATTTAAATTATATATGATATGAGATTACGGAACTTTCAACAAATTCAAGATTAACTCTTATACCATATTAAGATTTTAACATGTAACTAATTAATAATATATAAAATATATTTAAACTATACCACGTAATAAAAGATAGATAATACGTGAAAGTTTTAATAATTTTATTCTTATTCTTAAAATAGTCTAAATCTAAAATTATTTATCTAAAAGATGTAAAAAAGAAAAATAACTAAAATAAAGCAACAAAACTTGACCATGATAAATATAACTCTATTAAAATAAAATAAGTGAAAAAGATTAAAAAAAATTAAGATTATTTAATATGAAATAATAGAGTAAAGTGATAAATGACTAAAATATTCTATTATAAATTTTAATTAAAATAAATATAAATCAAATTTAAGAAATACTTATTTTAAAAAATAGATAAAAATTTATATAAAATAAAATTAATTTATATATAAAATATAAAAAAAAACTTGTAATATTTTATAGATATATTTGATTTTTTTATTTTTATAAAGTAATATTAATATTATAGAATTTTTTTCCAAAAAGTATAGTTAATTATTTTTTATATGTTTTGATAGAATTTAAATTATTAAACATATCATTTTTTTCAATTTAATAAGTTTATATTAAATGACAATGTTGGGAATAAAATTGTCTATCATATTATCCAGTTTATCTTTTAAAAATAGAAAATAATTTTAAGTTTATAATTATGCTGATTATGTTAATTTTAATGTAATTAATATTTATTGTAGTATTAATATAATGTTATATAGTTTAAAAGACATTTTTTAATTTTATATATATTATTTTAAATTTTTAACAACTATCATAAGAATTAAAATTAAAATAATATTTTAATATAATTAAAGGATATTAAAAAAATTATAAATACAATTTTAAAAGAGATTATTTGAAATACAATTCTAGGTTATTATTTTATAGTTATAAGAAATAAATCAATTTTAAAAATCTTAATCTAGTGAAAGATGAAGAAAAAAAGAATAGGTAATTTCAATCCATATTAGAGAATCCATTCTACAATTCATATTATTATCATTAATTAAAATCAAAACCACTTCAAAACTACTATCCTCATTACACTATTTATTTTATTATTTTAATATTATAAATGTACAAAAACATTTAAGAGTATAAATAATATATATTAATAAATAATAAATATAAAAAATAAAATATTAAATTTATAAATTTATAATATATATACTTAATAAAAAATTTGAAATAAAAATCATAAATATTAATATAAATTATAAAATTTTAATGATGTTATCTTCTTTCCATTTTCCATCTCACCCCACTTTTTTTCCTCTCTCACGCCTTCCCTCTCACCCTCTCCTTTGCGACTAGTTTTGTCTCCTACGGTGTCAGTCCATCTCGTATGGTGTAGTGTCGCAGACACCACAGTACGATAATAATAATCTTTTTATTTTCTATTATAATATTTATAATATTATTTTTATTTATGTGTAGCAACAATATTAGAAAAATGGAAAAGGAAGAAACAATCTTAGGATTTTATCTTTGATGTTGTCAAGATCATTAGTATCATTCCAGTTTAAATATTATAAAATTTTATTATTTTTAAGAAAAATGAGGTCTCATTAAATTAGTAAAATTCTTCCTAATTTAGTTATTAAAATAATTCATTAATAATTATGTTTCTCATTTTATATATATATATTAGTTATGTATGAAAAAGAGGAAGGATGGGTCTATGATTTTTTTAGATCCTCAATTAATACATCATAATTACTCTCTTATCAAAAAGAAATATTTGATTTGCTTGATTTATGAGTAAATTTATTTTTTTTATAATTTATCTTTACTTAATTCTAATTTTAACTATTTTTACTATGTTTCAATGTATGATTGACAATTGTTTCTCCTATATATGATTGAAAACACATCTGCATTTGTTGCACAAAAAATCACCTATATACCTTCAACAAATAACATATTGATAATAAAATTTGGTTATTTTTATAGATAATTATATTACATTTATGTCTTAACTAACTTATTAGTGTTTTTTTGTGTGAATATAGCATAATTAGTAGGTCAAATAGAAATTCACAAAAAGTCACCAGGTTGCATCTAAAGGTATAATTATAAATATTTATTTTTGTTACTAACAAATTAATTTAATTTCTATATTTTGATTAACGATATAATAGACAAACCAAATGACATGAGTATGGTTGTTACGTAATACAATGGAAGACAATCATTGCCCAAACAGAAATAGAAAAAGATTGGAATGAAGTAAGATAAATATTTTTTTAAAGATGATTATATACCAAAAGTTTAGTTATAATTATATTTGTAAAAATTCATTTAAAATATTATCATTTTTTTGGACACATTTCTCATGAATATAAATGTCATAAAATATATTAGACGCACATACGCAACATATTTCATTAACACATTAGGATAAAACAACATTATGTATATAATTATTACTTTTTAGTTGAACATTAAAGTACTTAATTAATTATTCTTGTATATTATAAATATTTATAATAACTTTATAGGATTATAGTAAAACTTATATTCATATAGTCATAATAAGCATGTTATCTTTATGAGCATACTCGACATAAGAATTCAAATATGGATATGATTAAATTTTTCATTGTATATAATATATACAACAACAGTTATTTACAAGACTCATCAATATATATTATATACGAAGACTTATACCATTTACATGGTTCTTATCTATCCTCATATTTTTCACATAGAAGGTCTAAAAGTAGCCTAATAAGCCATTTTTAATCATCATTAAACATTTTTGCTATATTAGTATTTTGATTATACAGAATTTATAAATTGGAAAACTGAAGTTGCAAAATTTAATTTGTGGATAGAGAATTACGAAAGATTAAAAGTACAATTTAACCAAACGAAGAGTACATTCAAATTTATTAAAAAAACATATTTCTTTTTCACAGATTCCCTCTTTTTTATTTAACTAGTCTCTCCCAAATTTTTTCTAAGTTTTTAATAATCTTGAACCGACAGAAAAAATAATGTATTGTTTGAGCTATTTTCCTGGAAAATATCTAAGAATT